TACTCAGACTGGAGTTGCTCAGGGTTACAAAGGAGATGGCTGGAACTGAACAGCTGACTTGAGGCTGCCTAAGTTTTGCTTTGCAGCTGCAATTTCCTGCACTGTCCCTGTTTTTTAGGGTTTGGATGTTTGTTTTGGTGGGGTTTTTTGTTTGGTTGGTTGGGGTTTTTTTTAACAGCTATATTATTTATTTTGCTATTCTATCATGAGTATAACATGTAGTCTCAAAACTTACAGCAGGCATGTGATCGAAAGCTCTTTCCTGGGGCACGTTTCCTTCAAGATAATGGCAAGAAGATCCATTGAATTCCAGCACCAAAGAGACTGAAATAATTCGATAAGGATGCATCTCCTGTGAGGAAGATGGCAGAGACTGTGAGATGCTCCTGCATGGCCGTGAACTTGGCGCTCAGGGGGCTGCATTTCTGCAAGCTGCTGGGCCAAGTAACAGGCAAAAGCAGGCGAGCTAGGGCCAGCTCTGAGGGCACAGGAAGGCACAGCCATTCTGTCAGAAGCCATTCTGTGGCATTTTCAGCCTCTCTCTGGTAGAGGCCCTCATCTTTCCCAGAAAATTAATTCTCTATGGATCTGTTTTCCAGCAATTTTCCTGCGATGCGGTGGTGGAGATGGCCAATGGGGTCTTCAGCTCTGCCAGGGGAGGGTACAACAAGGTCATTTGCTACCTCTGCTGATGGTGCTGGGGGAACAGATAGCAATGTGAGTGTTTTTATGCTGTGGAAGAAAGGTAGCGTGCAGAAAGGAACAACAAAAATATTGAGTCTGGATTTTTTATATAAGATAGAGTGACATCTCATTGAAGTAAATCACGAGTGCCTCTTCCCAGGGTGGAAATACAGGAGAATAAAAGTCTCTCCAAAGGAGAAAGCCTGGGGGAACCAAGGGGTCAAATCAGCACCTTCCTGCCTGTATCACTCAAAGGCCTGGGGTTGCCTGCAGCCATCTCCAGCAGGACACGTCCCTCGCCCTCCCGGTCATTCCCAGGCACCATCTTTGCAGAGCTTTTCTCTGAAGCACAGCAGACATCATGCCCATTCTTCCCAGGGCAGCTCTGGAGACTCAGGATTCTTTTCCCATGTTTGCAGCCCAAAACGTGCTCTTCCTGGCTGAGCTTCCCTTGCTTTGCAAGTGATGGGTCCACCCCTTTATGCAGAAATGGGGCATCCTCAGGAATGATCTGTCATATTTTGTCTCTGTATTGTCCTTCCCCAGGGAGAAGCTATTCTCCATCCTTGTGCAAGCTCCACCCTGAGGCACATTGTGCAGACACCTTTCAGCTGGTGCAGTGCTTAACCCCTGCTCCAGCTCTTTACTGACCAAACCTCATCTCTGAAAATACTACCTGTGTTGAAGGGTGGACTTTAAGCAATGGTCTTCATTTACACCATTATTAAACAAAAGGACTACTGTTAAGTGCTGTCAAAAGCCAGAAAATCATGAGGTGTAAATTTTGTGTCTTTATGTTTGACCAGAACAGACTCTCCCCATCCCCCAGGAAATGAGGGCCCCAACTTTCAGCTCCTATTGTTCTTCCCTAGGAAACTCCCAGTTTAGTCTTTCCAAAGTCCTTTCCCACCATTACCAAACCTCAAATGGGTCCATGTGACTTTGTTCTCCCTCTGCAGAAACCAGTGGCTTTGTAACCCCATCACTGTTAGGTTAAAAGGCAAATATTTCTCTTATGCCCAAGGCAAAGCATTGCCGCAGAGCCACCGATCATCAAGTGAGGGTTTTTGTTGTGCAAGTGGTTGTAGCCTGTTGGAAAAAACCCTCATTGTCACATCCAAATGTGTTTAGCCAGCACAGGCCAAAAGAAACCTAATAAAAATCTGAGGTGTAAGGGAGAATTAAATAACAGTTTGTCAGCTCTAGGAGCTCCAGGCAGATTGTTTCTCACAGCAATTAGCAGACAAGACATTGATGGTGCTGGTCTGGTTTAAACCATTTGAACTTTGGAGGGGAGAAGTGTCCAGGCTGGGTTGGAGCAGAAGTTTGTGCTTCTGGTCTGACCACAGAGAGTCAGGTGGAGCACAGGCAGAGGGAGAGACACTTGTCAGGTCTGGGTCATAGCAGTTGGTTACCTTTTTTTTTTCCCTTTGGGCAGGAATTTTATGCAAGTCACACTGTGAAATATGAGATGTGGGGATGATGCACTCCATGGATGCATTTCTGAGTTCCTAACCCAAATCCCAGCCTTCACCTGGCATTTTTAACAATATCCAGATGACAGGCTCAGGGCTTCAACTCGAGCAAATGCATCATGAAAAAAATCAAGTGTGGGAAAGCTTACGGAAGGTCAGTTAATTAAGCCTTTAAAGCCTGTGATATATTGAACAGTATTTTGTCATTTGTCTTAATCATTATTGCATGACTGGCTTTTAATACCATTTGGCACCAGTTTTGATTTTTGTAAGAGATGGCGTCACACGTGGTTTTACTCCTTGTTTTTTGTTGATGAGCTACCTGTGGAGAATCTTTATAGGTTGTATTTCAAGGTTTCTTTAAGAGAAAGAAACTACTTTACAGCTGTTAGGTGTATTAAGCAAAAAGTCAGACATTTCACTACATTATATAGATTGTCTCCTAACAAAAAAAGGGGGGATAGGAATCTTTTTTTCCATATTGTGTTTGAAAAGAAAGCTCTTCTTAGTCTTTAAACAATTTCTTGTTGACCTTTCTTCCTGTGCTGGTTTTGCCCGAACCCAGCATTTTCTGAGCTGCTGCCCTAACACTCTCCTCCCAGTGTTACATCAGATCACAGATCCCTCACATGCACCCTGTGCCTGCCTGTTCCCTCTTTAAATACTTCTGGCAACTGCCCATGCCCTCACCCTGCAGCCCTGGGATCTCATGGTTCCCCTCTGATCTCGGGCCCTTCAGCAATACTGAAACCCATCAGGGAAGCTCCACCAGAAAGTGCAGGACAAATGGCACGTAGCTCCATCTGAAAATAAAGCAACAATGCCAACATCAGAAATCAGCTGCAGTAAAAATAAAAACTGGTTTGTGTCATGGACTGGCTGAAAAATTGAAGTTGTGAAGAGAGCAGGGAAAAGGTGAGTCACCCTTCCTGTGCTGGTGAAGAGGGAAAGATGAATCGTCCTTCCTGGTTTTAATGTTGGTTGTTTGGGGATTTTTTTTCCCAGTTTGCTGCTTTCCTGCTCTCTGAAAACTTCTTGACAAGAGTTGAAAAATAAATCTGTGCAGGGTTCATACTCAGGAAGCTGCTTTAAAAACCAGTCCCACAGAAAATTAGTAAATCAGCTAACTGAGGAATAAGTGATGTCCTTTCCTAAACAGTGTGAAAGAGCAATGAAGTGTCTTGGTGTCCTTGAAAAACAGCAAGACACAGTGCTAACTCCCACTGCAGTGATCCCTGCAAAACAGAGACCCAGGATGGGAGGGCTAGAGGCTGAAATTGCTAATAGGGCTGGGCAGGGAGGCTGCTGTGACAGCTCCAAGCAAGGGTAGATAATGACCTGTATGGCTCATCTCAGTGGAGGGGTGGCTGGGAAGATTAATGCACAATTATGGATTCTGGTTATGCCACTGTAAAGGTTAATACACACCAAATGCATCTAAAAAAGTATCTTGAGCAACCAAAGTGGGCTCTGGGACAAATAACCTGAAGGATGCTTCAAATTTCTGAGGAACCTGAAAACAAAGTTCTAAGGATTTTTCTTTCACCTGCTATTCAGAGAGAAGCTGTGTTATTTTTAGGAATCAGTGCTGAGACCGTGACATCTATCACATGCCCAGGAAGATGGAAACTAAGTTTGAGGGTGCTCTCCTGGCTGAAATCCATAAGGAGAGATGTTCTAGGGATTAATATCACTCCGTGTGGCAGGGGCTCTCCTGCAGAATTGGCAGGAAAGAGGTAACAAAATTCTCTCCTTAGGGCTGGCTGCTTCCAGCAGGCTGCCATGCTGCTCCCTTTGAACCAGGCAGGAGTTTTGACACCGAAATGTTTAAGTGCTGTTGGGTGAGCGTCCTGCAAGCCTTTGATTAAAGCAGTGCAGGGCTCATTAGACTGACTTGTTTTAGCAGCTGTCCAACACAGGAGAAAAGAGAAATAATTCTAAGTAAACTCTGTGTTGCTATTTCAAATATTATGACCCATCATTGTTTTGACAGTCTCTAAACAAGGGCATAAATGGGCTGAGTAATGTGACCAAGTGTCCAGAAAAGCCTTACTCCAGAAAACAAGGATGGTAAATCACATGATGCCCCATGAGATGGGGTGTTTTGCCAAATTACTGCTTCAGGGGAAGTGAGAACAATTTCAGTAACTGGAATGTTCCTTCATCAGTTTCAGACACTCAGGATTGCCATTGCCCTTTCTTCCCCACCTCCCACCTTGCTGTTTTCATTTTTAATTGGTGATATCTACCAAAGGCTGATGGTTACCTCTATTTGCTGCCAAAGGAGCCTATTTTTTATCTTTTTAAAGAGCTTAAAAAACACTCAGAGGAAAATAGGAAGGCTTCAGTGCCTCTTTTAACTACCCTAACAATCCTGGAGTCAAATGCAGGCATCAAAGGACACTTAGGAGTAAGACATCACCACAACAGCCTTTCAGTCCCTGTTGAATTTACCTTAATGCACAATTCTCTGTTTTGTGCCATGTGAGGCACAAGACCAAAACACTGGCAAACTCAGCAATGGCAATTTTTTTGGCAAGGCCTTTTATGTTGTGCCTCTAGGTGTCCAAAATGGCCAACAGGTGTGCTGGAGCCTTGTGTGCTAGAGGCAAAAAATGACCACCTGCAACAAGCTGGAGGTAGATCAACCAGCTTATGTCACCTGCAAAGATCTGAAGAGGTGATATTGTCCTGCTCACCATGCACATAGGTCATGTAATTATTTATATGATTCAGTGCTGTTTGAATACACTCATAACTGTGATTGCTTAGGCCACATCAACACTGCAACACTGTTTTATAGCACGTAGTAGTTCTTTACATTAATGCAGCCAAAACAGCTGGGAACGATTCTTTTATTGAGGCTTTCCTATAAATGTCTGATTCTGTTTTTTTGTGACTGAGCTCTCTATTCCAGCTGCTGCCTTCTATGAAGTGTAGCTAATAACAGCAGCAGCAACAGCTGGACAATTAATCCCTTAACAACTGTAAAATGCTCTGGTATGAACAGAAGAGGATTTTGCTGTATATTTCTCCTTGGTGTTTCTAGGCTAAGTATGCCGTTCCTTGAAAGCAGCTGATTTCTGAACAGAAACAGAAATGGAAAATTAAAATAAAAATGATGTATCCTATCCCTCCCCTTCCCCCATTCATTTCATAATTAGGCAGGGACTACGATGAAATATTTTAATTTTAACTCTGGGTAACAGAATCTTGGATACAGGGAGCCCCCAGACATGCATTTTGTAAGTCTTTCCAAAGGTAGGTTGAGCAGGATTGGACAAAGACCATCACTGCCATGGGACCTGGTCTTGTTGTGAGCTGCCAAGGGCATTTTCATTTGCCCTGGACACAGCTGAGTGTGGAGAGACCATTGTGCCTGTGCCCATAGGTGCCCATGGTTACCAACCAATGCATGTGGAGTGGTCTCATGCAGTTTCAAAAGTCTGAGAGACAGGGTTTTGTCTTTGCTGTTCAGGCCGTGATGAGGGTATTTAGAGGTTGACTGGCCATGGAGACATATTTCCAAGCATCTTAAAGTCATCTCAGATTTCTTTATATTTAAACATAATCCAAGGAAAATGAGGGACCATTTTCATTAAATAATTATTTGATTAAAATGATGAATGGAGAAAGAAAGAACCATTACAAGAAATCCATAAATTAGCATACACATATCCTTGAACTGCATTACACCATCAAATCCCGGCTCGCTTCCATGGCTTGAAGATTATACCTGTAGATGCCACACTAAAACCAATTAGCTGCTTGGCCATTTGAACTCCTGAGATTATGCTGCTCCTGTTCAGCCATTCTTTTCAGAATGCCTTCCTGCATTCCCAGCCAATAACCATGTGATTCATGCTGAGAGAGCAGCAGCATGGGGCACATCCAAGCTCCCCCCGTGTGCGGATAGTCCCATCTGGATGTATCTGGGTTGGGAGATGCAGAATGAAGAAAACTTCTGTTCCTTGCACACATCTCTGTTATAATTCATGAATGTTGAAAAGCATCCTCGCTGAACCTCTGGACACACAAGTGCAGTGGATGAGTGGAACATGGTGACAGTGGGGCAAGATGCAGCCAGAGATGAGAGTTCAAGAGATGTGGCTAAAACTGCTCCATGATGGGAGTTTTGCTCAGAGATCCTCCTGGTGGGTGTTGGTGGTGAGGAGTTGGGTGTTTCTCAGTGTGTGCCAGCCACACCTCTGCTCCTTGTAGGAGGTGGCTGGAGGCTGGAATCCTCAGTGACAAACCTGCTGGCAGCCGTGAGTGGGAAAGGTCCATGTGAGGTTCAGGTTTGCTCTGGAGCTTGCCTCCTCTCTGCCAGCCCCATGATGGGCTGCTCCTGGGACAGGGAGCTCTGCTCTGAGCCCCGCAGCAGCATTCCCAGGATGGCCAGGACTTCCTGCAGGCCCTGGCCAGTGTGGGCACTGCACCCCCGGAGCATCCATCGGTGCCTTGCCAGCCCCCCAAGCTGCAGCATCTCCCCCAGCTCGGCAGGTGCCAGCGCTCCTGGCACATCCTGCTTGTTGGCCAGGAGGAGCACAGGGACGCCAGCCATGCCAGGATGGCTCAGGGCCTCCTCCAGTGCTGTCATTGCTTCGGCCAGCCTGGCCATGTCTGCACTGTCAAGCACGAAGATGAGGGTATTGATGTCCTCCAGGTAGTTTTGCCAGCTGGCCCGCAGGTTGTCTTGTCCACCAACATCCCAGAGGGTGAAGGATATGCCACAGGGTGTTTTCAGAGACTCCACGTTGAATCCCACCGTGGGGCAGGTCTCCACAGCCTGGCTGCTCTTCAGTTTGTACAGAAGGGTGGATTTGCCAGCAAAGTCGAGCCCCAGCATGATAACCCGAGCATCTCTTTTCCGCCAGCCTTTGGAGATCAGCTTCCCCATCAAGATACTGCCGCAGCTGGATGGGGGGAAGCGGGGGATGCAGCCAAAAAACAAATAGCAAGCAAGAGTATTTCCTCGAGGATGTCAGTCATTAACAGAGTGCTCAGTCCTGCCTTTCCGAATGAGCCCCTTAGGTTTGCTGAGGAAAGACTCGGGCAGCCGGCTTCTGCTTCTCGCTGTAGCTCAAATGAGGTGAGAGAGATTATTTATGATTATTTATGCAGCGGAGCCAGGGAGCGATGTTCAAACCAGCGCCCAGCTACACCCCAGCTCCGCTGCCTCTCACTTCTTTTCATTCGGGACCCGAAGTGATTGGTGCGAAAGAGAGCTAACATTTTGCAGGAAGAGGTGGGGAGATTGTGGAGCAAGTTTCCTCCTCACCACATACATAAATAAATGAGCTTCTGTTCATTGGCTTGTGTGGGAGAAATCCACCCCCGGCAGGACAGGACAAGGAGGAACCCGGGTTTCAGACCAGGGTTACTCTGGGAATTTGCTGAATCACAGCTCAAGGGTGGGGATTTAAAGCCTCTTCAGCAACAAGACGATTTTTCTGCCAGTCTTACGGTAAAAAGTACAAAACAAATCACTGTATCATCAGCTTTTACTACCTTTTGTGTAAATGGTAACAACAGCAATTTTTAAAAATGCACACGAGCATGTTTTTTTAATGCCTCATTGAAATACAATGAGTCAAAATGCCATTCCTGGGGCAAAAATCCATAAAATTCTTTACATCAAAGTATTTATGACATTTTAACTTTTTTAAGTGAAGCAAAGTGAGCCCTCTGTGGCTGAGGGGGTACAAAAATCCCCTAAAAGAAGAGAAAACTTAAACAAGACATCACCCCTTGCACTTTACGTGCCAGAGGCAAAAATGTGCTGCTGCAACAACTCCCAGACTCACTTGTGCAAGAGCCGCCGATGACAGCCAGCAGAGTCCCAGCAAAGCCGGGATTTATTTCCCTTCTTTACTGACTGGGTTTTGCTCCTAAGAGGCTGCTCAGAGACGTGCAGAGCTCACCTCACAGCAGTAAGGCAGAGCTGCTCTCTAGCTACCTTTATTTGCAAAAGAAATGGGATTCACCCCTGCTTCCCTGGGACCACAGGGGAATTTTTAACCCATCTGTGGGAGATGCAGTTTCCTCAGCAATAAGCTTCACGTCACCAGCATTGCTGGGGATGAAGTTCAGCACAGCACATGGAAGGGACTGTGTAGTCAGCTGGTCACTGAGAGGCATATTTCTTCCTCTGGGGGCAAGATATTTCAGTTTCCTATCTTTTACAGAAAGGAAGATGCATAAGAAAAAAATAAAGAACACAAGAAGTCCAGCCCACTTAGGCTGCATAGGATTTCAAGAGGTACAAAACAGACCACATATAGCAAGATACCTCTGTGATAAAAGTCTCTCTCATTGTTAACCCACAGAACTGGCTGGCACCAAGAGCCTCCACAAGATTTATGCAGCTTGTGGATGTGTAAGACAGGTTTTAGCAATCATGGAATACCAGGCTGGAAAGACCTTGAGGATCATCTGGTCCAATCAACCTTTCAAGGCCAATGCATGGTCTAAAAGAAGCTCAGTATCCTTTTCAGCCAAATCTGAAGTGTCCCCAGGTGTTGGGGAACACACCACTTCCCCAGGGAGATTATTCCAATGGTAGATTGTTCTCATTGTGAAAAGTTATGTTCTTGTGCACAATCAGTGTCTCCCCAGGAGTAAATTGTACCCATTACTGCTCATTTTTTTTCCATAGACTCCTCGTAAAAAGGGATTCTCTATCTTCTTTGTAACCACCCTTTAAATATTGGAATGCAGTGATAAGGACTTTCATTAGCCTTTTTTTCTCAAGATTCAACAATAAAATTGTGCAGCATATGTTCACACGTGATCTTTTCTAAAACCAGTCTGTAAGTGCAAAATTGGCAGAAAGATCTCTAGATGTGGATAAAAAAAGACAACTGTAATGTGCAGTGGATTCTGGCCCTTCAGGGCAGTGCTTGCACACCCTGAAGTGTGTGTTGCTAACTGAAGGTTATAATTTTGTCCATGTTCTTCACATTTTAAAATAAATCCTTCATCTGCTTGTTCACCATTTTGGAATAACCTTCCTTCCCATATTTCATTGTCCTTTAAGATCAGTATAGTTGGGGTTTTTTAAATATAAAAGCGGGTCAAGTGAATTGTATCTTGGTCTTTTCATGTTTCTCCTGCCTTTGCTGCTGCTCATCTTCTCTGAGACTTGGCAGGCAGTGGTGACACACATCTGTTTCATCTGACAGACATTCATAGCACCATAATTTATTTCAAGTAAATTAAAATAGAGGTACAGGACGCAGGGATGGAGACTCTACCATTCAGTGAATAATTGAGCATTTGAAATATGACGTGATGGAGTCTCTGATTGCATCACTCCCTCACATGCTACAGAAGAAGGCTGCTTTAAAAAAAAAAAAAAAAGAAGAAAGGGAAAGGGAAAAAGGAAAAGGAAGAAATAAAGTCAGAATAAAGGATACAACTAAGCACAGTTTTACTGATGATTCCCTTCAGGTTTTCTATGGCACAGAATACAGTAATTCATGGGCAAATAGAGGAAACTCTGTTCTTCTTTTTTTACATGCTTATACCCTATGTATTGAACAGCAACCTATTTTCTTTCTTCCTGACAATTAGTCCAAACACAGGGTGCAGACTGTGCCTACAGAGCCTGTTCCGCCCACAGCTATATTACAAAAGCATCGTATTTCCAATAAATAATACATAGGAGCAATTACAAGTCTGTTTAAGATAGAATGAAAGAAAAGAAAGTAAAAGCAGACAAGATGAGCTCTGAGTGCATCTACTGCTGGAAAAGAAAGGCCAGGTACTAAATAATTCAGACATTGTGTTCAGAGACAAGGACAGCCCCTATTCAAGCTGTGTCTTCTGTGGACAGAATAAATGTTCTTGTCTTGTGTTTCATGTCCCCGAATTCTCAGGAGCAATGCTAATTCCATTTACAGTTTCATAGAATTTCAGTCAATTTATTTGTTTGCTGTTTTTTAGGCATGCATTTTTCTGCTTCCTAGATATTCATCCCAAAAAAAGCAATAATCAATACTAGTAATATAGGAGAGAATCCCCACTCCTTCCCATGCCCCAAATATTCCAATTAAAGAGATTTTGTCCTGATCACTATATTAACTCACATTTGTTCCCACCTGTGCCACCTCTTTGGAAGGCAGGTCCAGGGACACAACCCTTCACAGAGCCAGGAATAACAGGTGTATTCTGGTCCTTACTGTGAACGTTTATCCAAATGGCATCTGCTTGGAACAACAAGTACATCTCAGTCCAGCGAAGGCAGAGGGTGCCTCCCCATCCAGATGTGCTTGTGTCCCTGAGAAAGGCCACCAAAGCCACCATGCACCCAGCCCTGGCTGTTTCCTGCAGGATTTCCTCACTATATCACACGTGGGAGGGTCACCCATGGAGGGCATGTTCAGAGCAGCAGCTGGTGAGAAAGCCTGCTGGGAGCTGAGGGAGGCCCTGGACACAGATGGATGTCTTGACCTGGAGAGCCCACCTGTCTACTGCTGGCAGTCACCTTGAAGGGGACTTCTCTGTGTTTGGCCTGTGACAGTTCCTTGTGAACCTCCTGGGATCACTGGATTTGACTCAGCCAGGCTGAAACCACAACAAAGACAAACGCGATGGTTCAGGCTTAGAGAAGTTTGGCATTTTTCTTTTCTGCATCCTGCTCCATTCCTCTTGTTCCGCTCCCGATTTCTGGCTTGCCCGCAGGAAACTCACTTCTGCTAACAGACTCATGCCAGTTCATTGGCACATGCCCAGGAAACTGCCTGTTCCATCAGGGTCAGTGGGGAGCTGTGAGAGCTGGCAGCTGAAGGCAAGCTGCTTTCTCCCGAGACAAATTCCCAGGGGCTTGAAACACGGCTTAGCATAGTCTGAAAGTTACACAAGACAACCACAGGCTATGACATGCCCTAGAAAAGCCTGCCTGAAGTGATGTCTCTTGACAAGATATGATCCTTTAAAGTTGTACCAACACCCTAAAGTTCAGAATGACAAGACTCACACATCAAAAGACACAGCAGATGTTGAGCACTTGTTCTTCAGGTGCTCATTAAGCACTCTGAGAGGTGTTGGTTCCTCCAGGGCATACCCGGTGGGTTTGGAAATAGAACATTGTTCTCATGTCCAGCTCATCCTGTGGTCCTTGTTTTCCCCTCAGTCCCTGGGACAAACATTTGGTGAAGAAAAATGTTTTCAATAGCATAACTGGCAGCAGATACCAGCTTTGTGCTTTCCAAAGTTAACTCTTTCCAGTAGGGAATGACTCCAGCTGGAAAGCACAAAAGCTCACCTGCTATACCCTCGCTGATGCCATGTCAGAGTTCCCAAGGGAGGAAGCTTGGTCCTTGTCTCTTTTCAGTCCCCACCTGTCTGGCCTGCTGGGACCCATCCCTGTGTTGCAGGGCGGCAGCCACTAGGACACAAACATGCCCACAGATGTGAGATCCTGCTCAACACAGATGCCTGATGGCCAGGGCTGGTCATCCCCCTGCATGAGCCCCAAGCCTGCCTGCTCCCTGGCTGGGGACAGTGGGACAGGTCCTGACCATCAGACCCTGCCATAACTCCCTGTATTGCACCCTTACAAAAAGGTGAATGTGAGAAATATGGTACAGACTTTTTTCCCTCATGTTCTCATCTCTTAGCTGGTAAATGCTTCAACAGCAGGATGACATGAAAAGTAAAATTATTTGCCATGCCTCGATTTCTGTTTGAATCACTATGTCTTTGATATATTACTGTAGAATATTTTTCATAAATATTATTACTCTAGTTTCTGAATTTATAATTTCCAAAGCTGTTTAGAATTTATCAGGATGCAAGACCTCTCTCTAGACATACTTATTCAAGAGCTACTCAAACTGTTTTCGTTTTTCCCACATAAATTGGCAGTGCTCTGTATTCTTCTATGTCATTGAAACTCTCATTCCAGGTCCTTCTTCGTATGTCTTAAATTTGCAGATCTCTTCCTCCTTGACCCCTAACATCTTAGCTTTGTCTCCCCAGGATAATTTAAAACCAAGCCTTTTTGGCATACTTACCTATCCTGACACCATCATTCCCTTTCCTGATATTCATTAACTCTTCTTCTTACAGTTGGTCTCTATCCCAGCTTAGGTCACACACTCATCTATGCCCCACATTGCACACCAGCCATTTTCACCGTAGAAACTAATTAAAATACAGCTCTGACTATCGTGAGGGGCCTTAAGCTCAATTCTTCATTATTATTGTTTCTAGTTGAAGAGAAAAAAGAAAAAAAAGACCAAAAAATGTGTATGCTTACAAAAACATTGATGTTATGTGTACCAAAAAAATGTTCCTGTATCCTAGTATTTGCTTCTCTGTCTCTTGAAAGCCATGAAGCAAGGACTGGCTTTTGGGGGCTTCTTTGAGTATTCCTTTGGTTTCTATTGAGAAGAAGCCTTAAAGAGACTATATAATGATGCTTAACCCTACTCTCTACCTGCACTAAACATAATATAGGTATTATCTTATCTGTTATTTCTATTCTTCAAAATTATGTTTTGGAGGTATGCTGATGAAATTAATCTCTCCAGATTAGTTTGGAGGAAATCCTGCTTTGCAATACACAAATCCAGTTCCCTTGAAGGTGGCCTTCTCTTATTCCAGTTCCAGAGGAAGAAAATGGGATTAAAATTATAGTACAAGCATGGACCTGAAAATGCACTTGTGCAACTTGACAGGCTCCAGAGCAACAGCAGTCTCACTCTCAGTGCTCCTGAAGGTCTGGATGCCAGTTTTGTTTTATCATTTGTTTTTAATATTTGCCTTAACTTGCCTGTTTAGGACATTTTATGCCAATAAACAAAATTTACTGAATAGATACTGGAAATTTTCAACAAGAATAAAAGCTACAAACTGTTCTTTACTACATTTCTGTTTGGTAAAATGGAAGAAAGTGACAAAAACCTGTGAAATTTCAGAAGCTGCATTTTATCTGTCTGGCCACAGAGTGTCAATGTTTTCCCACACATTTCTCAGTGGAGAGCCAACCTCCAGCGGAATCAGCTCCTACTAAACAGCAGATGTCAGAATTCCTGCTTTGATTTAGGGGGAGGCCCTCGACACCCTTTTGCAGCTGGATCACTTTGAAACAGGTTTTGCTGAACAGCAGCTGTAGGTTTGTTTTGTGTGCCACAGGTGATGATGGTGAGCACTGCAGAACAGAACTGGAGTGAGATGTCAGCTCCATGCAGGTCACACTTAGCTCCAGATTGTTTTCACATCAGATGTAGCTGGCATTATATCCTAGGACTCCAAGGTCTGAGTGAAAACAGTTAATCTACTGATGGAAAAATATAATGCTTAATGAGGAGGAAAACAGAGGACACTTCAAAGAATTGTCTTCCTTTAATAACCTTTAACAGGTCACTGAGAGTTGCTATCACGACTCTTCACTGTTTGTGGTCACTTACAGAGCTGCAGATACAGAAGAAGCTTTTAAATCCACAATTAACAAGATCATAAATTCCTGTAAATGTGTGTTTATATATGACTATGCACACCTTTGTGATCTCTGGGTTTGACAATATATCATTATGAATGAAATTACAGAATCAGGTTGCATTAGGGTTTGGTGTATAATTCCATGCCAAGCTATTTCTCCATTTTGAATTTCTAGTGTCCCCACTCTGGTCACTTGAGGAAAGCCCTTCACAGCCCCCTGCTACTGCTATCAAGAGATTTAAACTGTGGCTGTTGGTGTAAGAGAGAGGGATCAGCACCGGAGCTGACCCACCAAGGCCAGCAACACACATTATCTGTGTGGTGTCTTGGGCAACAATTCCTTTTGTTCTACAAAACTTGTCTCTGAATAGCATTGCTTTGTGTCGTTGGCCTATTTAATGCTTTCATAACATTTCCAGTCGGTCATAACTTTTCCAAGACGGGTATTAGGTTTCATAACCCTTTTTCTTGTAGAAAAAGAAATGTTAGAAGAAGGTTGCTTTTTGTTATTGCTGGCTTTTACAAAAAGCCACACTGAGAGAAAAAGAACTGAAACTAGTTATTGCAAGATAATGGCATTATTTCTGTTCCACACAGAGCACTTTTGTAGCTGTTTCAGCTGCTCGTAAAGCTCAGACACAATATAAACTGCCTGCAACTACTGTTTAAGGACTTACAGCATGATAAAATTAGTGTGAAAACTAACTAGTGATAATTAATAAGAAGAAAAATAAACCCATATGAATAAAAAAACCCGACTTGCAGCTTGTGTTATGGTGCTTGTTAAAACAACTGGGTTTCTGCATATGGTAACTAAGCAGGGCTGTCCTGCTGAACTAAAATCACAGTTTTGTTTATGCGGCTCCACCTTTGCACTATTTCCCAGCAATATCAGGAAAGGCAGCTGTTCTTGACAAGCAACTCCTTTGCGAAGCCACAAAAACAAACTGCAAACAAGTGTTGTGTATGTTCCCTTTCTGGCTCTTTTGGGCCTCCCATGGAGGCGCTGATGACACTTTTCCATGTATCTTATTTATGCCTTTTCTTTCTGTTGCTCCAGAATTCCCACAATGTATTCAGCAGGACTTTCCTAATGCTGGCAGCACAGTAAACAGCAACTTGGCAGGAAAATTCTTTTTTTACCCTGGACCCACCACTGTGCTTTGCTTGCCTCATATTCCAGAGCAGAATTTCTTCAGCATCACTGATTCACTCTCAGAGCAACCCATCCATACTTGATCCCTGGGTTACTGAAATTGATTTTTCTTCTATTTTCTTGTTTTAAAAATTACAATTTCTTATTTGAATTTATTTTTTTCTTAAACTGACCACCCTCAAAAAGAGATTGATACCTACAGTGCTTTCTGTTTCAGGTCCATCAGTTCTCCATTCCCTGCACCCCCAGCTGCCTTCTGACCCACTGTCAGAAAAAAAAAAAAAAGTTAATTTTGAGAAAAGAGGAAGCCATTTCCTGGTAACAACTTCGTGTAAACAAAAGACTTCTCTTGGGAAGGCCAGTTTCCAGTCTTCCCTTTCCTGGATCCTCCCTACTTGATCTGCAGGTGTTGAAACGGAGCAGTAAAGGGACAAGACTGCAAGACTAGCAGGGGTTTATAGGCTGCCTAAATCCTTTTGAATGAAGAGAAGTGAGTGACTCTGTCAGAAGCCCCTTAGCCGTGTCTCTGGGATCCATATGGACTCGGGCCTTACTGGCACCAGCCTGCAGCAGAGCCAGCAGGGCTCCTGCCAGAGCCGGGCTCTGCTCCCCGCCCCAGGGCAGGCGGGGACAGACAGGTGCCATCAGTTCAGGAAGGGAACTGAGGTGCTGGAGTGGGTCCAGAGAAGGGAAACGGAGCTGGGGAAGGGTTTGGAGCAAAGTATTACGGAAAGCGACTGAGGGAGTTTAGGGCTGAGGGGGATGCCCAGCCTCGAGAAAAGGAGGGTCGGGGGGAACCTCATGGCTCTCTGAAAGGAGGGTGGAGCCAGGTGGGGGCCAGCCTCCTCTCCCAGGTAATTTAGTGGCAGGACACCAGGATAAAGCCTCAAGCTGTGCCACGGAATTTCTTCACAGGAAGAGTGACTGGGCATTGAAATGGGCCGCCCAGGGAGGTGGTGGAATCACCGTCCCTGGATGTGCGTAAGGAAAAGCTGGACGTGGCATTCAGTGCCCTGGCCTGGTTGCCACGGCGGTGTTCGGCCAGAGGTTGGACTCTGGATGATGGCAGTGTCATTCCCAGCCCGCCTGTCGCCGCCATCGCAGGCAGGCAGGGGTGTGGGGGGGAATAGCGGGCAAGGGAACGCGTCACGCGCCCGGCACGCCCGCGGCGCCCAATAGGGAGCGAGGAGCCGCCCACGTGACGGAGCGCGCGCGAACGGTCAAGAGGGCGGGGGGGCTCCCGCTCCCACGTCTCCACGGCGAGTCACGTGATGCGGCGCTACTCTGCCCCCCCTCCTCCCCGCCCTCCCTGGTCACGTGCGCGGGCGCCGGCGGCGCGCGCGGCCCCCCCGACGGCCGTGAGGGGCGGCGCGAGCGGCGGCTCCGGGTGGGAGGCGCGGGCCCCGCACCGGGCGGAGCGGCCGCCGGGAGCCCGCCGGGAGCCCGCCGGGACCTGCCGCGGGCACCGGGTGAGCAGCGCCCGCCCCTCGTCCCGCTAGGGCGCTGCGGGTAGCGGGCGGGCAGCGCGGCTCTGTGGGGCTGCGAGGGTGGCGGTGCCCGTGCGGAGCGGGAGAGCGGGAGGGAGAGAGAGAGGGAGGGAGAGAGAGGGTCCTTGTCGCCACAGCAGGGCTGGGGTGGGGACCCTCGCCCCCGCTCTGTCTCGCCGCCAGCCGCTTTCCCCCACAGCCCTCTGGAAGGCTCCTACTGCATGTCCTTAACGTTGTGTGTCCTTACTGATTTTTCCTTTTTTATTTTCCTGTTTCGCGGTGTTTCGGTTTATCCTTCCCTTTTGTCGCCGGCTTCCTGAAGCCTGGCTGAGGTAGCCGGCTGCTCGGGGAAAAAAATAAAAACAACAACAATAAAAAAAAAAGGGGGCAGGGAAAACTCAACGCTTTTTTTGTATTCCTCGCCCGGCTTTCTCTGGACATTTACGGGTTTTTAAAGCTCTTCTTCTAAGTTGGAGGGAATTTGTTTTGCTTTGCTTTTTAAAAGAACTTGCAGAGTTGCAGTTTAGAAAGCTGTCGTAAATTAACACGAAAGGAATATTTATCTGTTTTATAAAGAACTTGCAAGGTTCTGATTTAGAAAGTTCGAGTGACCCATTTGTGCCATTCTCTACTGACGGAAGGTAAAATGGGCTTTAATCGTTCCGAGAAGGGGTGGGATTAAGGGAAAGGGTACAAGGCATCGTAAATGGAAATGTGTTTGGAGCACAGTTTTTTGGGAAAAACTTCAGACGCTGTTTGGAATATGTATTCATTGTTTAGTGCCTTAACATGCATGTTTCCCCTTGAATGCTAATCTCTCTATGCATCAGATTGACAGACAGGCATTGCTTTAAAAGTTGTCTTGTAGTCAGTGAATGGATTTGATAAGTTGCACCAATGGCTCAGCGGAGGGGGAAAAAAAAAAGGAAAATAAGGCGAAGTGTGGTTGTAATTACAGTTTTGTAATTGGAGGTCTGTTATGGTGGGTGGATGACTGTCATCCTCATAAAAGTGGTGTCCTGTGGTGAAGCCAGTCGTGTTCAGTAGCGTTCACGTGCATGATGGTACTTTTTGCCTACTTATCTCTCAGATGGTTGCTCAAAGCAAAAAGGAGGTCTGGTTGTCAGTCCTTGCATCAGCAGTTCTTTCCTCCCCTGTATGGCTCATTAAAGGCATCTGTAAATAAATTGTGGAGAGGTTTGGAGCACCTGAGTGAGTTTTGCCATAGAAATGTTGCTTTCTGTAAGGTCCAAGGAAAGTAAGTTAAGGCACATGTTTTCAGGGGGTGCAGTCTTTTCCATTGGCAAGGGAGAATGCCTCAGTAATGTTACTTGGGTCATACACCGACTTACTATCAATAGTATTGTTAAAATAATAATAGTATATTGTTGACATATTCTTTCTCAATGCTGAAATATGAAATCAAAAAAGGCAAATGTAGACTGGGTAGAGATCGGTGTGATGTGAAGGATTTGATTCTTACTTGGTTAAGGTGTACTTCAAATTAAAAAGGGATTAAATGTGCTAGTCACTCTGTGGTGTTCTAAAGCCAGATATCCCAGCTTTTGTGTTCTCACTGCTGTTCATAATTCCCAAAGACAATTAGGAGAAACGAAGGCCTGAGCCTGCAGTTTTTCTGTGCAGGAGTAGGTCTGCCCAGCTGGAATAAACTGCAGCATTGGAGCCTGAGGAAAGAATGAAACAAACAAGCAGGCAATTGTGTTCCAACAGCCTTTGCAAATACGGGGATAATCTTTGAGGAGTTAACTGTAGTGTTTTTGTTGCAAGGACAATTGGTACTGTTTTCCTGGTAGGATGTTGTGTTAGGCTATTGTTCTGTCCAGCGTGGATTTATTTAGCTGAACTATAAACTCTGTAGAGCGGTATCTAAAATCATTTTAACAAAGCGTTTTGTAAATGCTGCTTTTTTTTTTTTTTTTTTTTTTTGAGGCAGAGATTCATGTTTCATGTGCCTTTGTGAATCGGCTTGCAAGCTTTTTATTTAGTAAGCAAATTACTGAGGAGATGAATGCGTCAGTAGCAGATTAGCACAGAATTTTGAGGGGCCTATCGCTCCAAAAGTGTGTGACTTATTAAAATTGGGAGCAGATGTAGCTGTTTTCCTCCAAATGTTGGTGTCTACCCCAGCTCAATTTCTTCTTCGTCACAATATGTGGCCAGTTCAGTTTCCTTTCTTTTACAAGTCACCTTTTCTTGTTTATTTTTAGCCTAAGTAAAATTCAAGAAATGATCTTTGTTTCTGTTTCTGTTTGGATACTGAGGTTGTTGGATCATTTCGAGATGTCAGAGCAGTGAGGTGTTGTTGATGCCAACTCCCCCTGCTGGTTGATTTTGCAGCAGAAATAAAGCTGCCTTGTGTTGTATAATTGTTTGTCTCTGCATCATGCAGCAAAAGTTAACAGTTGAGAGGTGGCACGCGGTGTTTCTAAAAACAGCTAGAGCAACCAGTTTAAGCTCAGGGGTTTTATACTCATAAGATTTTTAATTGCAATTAACTTGAGAGCTGTGTGTTGATATGACACGTACTCCTCAGAGCCACTGCTGCCTTTCTGCACACAGAATCTGAGTAGTAGCTTGAGAGCTGTTAGCGTGCAGATTAAAACGCCTTGATTGCTTGGAACTCCATCTGCGTTTCCTCTTACAAACTTCTCAGCTGAGGTGCTGCCCTTGCACAGTGTGTGATGTAGCAGGGTCCTGTCAGGAAAAGTAAATAACCTTAGGTCTGGGACTGACACACTGCAGGAAGGGTGAGTGAAGGACTCTGCGTGTCTCTGTGCTACTGCTTGCAGTGCCATGTCTGGAGTCTGCTGGATCATCAGCCTTTCGTGGCTAGGATTTTCCCAGAGGAAACTGCACGGGCCTGTCCCCTCCAGATTCAGGCGAATGTTGCACGGGGATGAGGCGTGAGTGTGGTTGGTGTGAAGGGCCAGTCATGGTATCACGGAGCATCTGCTCTTTTGGAAGGTGTGCAGCGTGTCTTAAAGGGTGCTAGAATCAATTTGGCTTCAGTTTTGGTGACATTAAGTTACTTTACTGACACTGCCATTTACAGTCCTACATTTAAAAATAGATTTCTCAAATACTTTTTTTCTCACCGTAGACTTTTTTTTTTCCTTCCTGTGACTGCCAGGACTTTTATTGGAAAACTAGAAAATTGGCTGGAGTTGTTAAGGAATCTGTCTTTAGAGAGAAAAAAGGTAGTGCTTTTACCTAGGTGGAGCATTTGTTTTCTGTGGAAAATGAAGAATAAGTAGTTAAATCAGCTTTCTATGCACAATTACAGTTAAGAAGCAGTTGTCAGTGTATAAGGCCTGGAACTTTCTGGTTTGTGTGTAATTTCTCTCTTAGACAAAAGGATAAAGGAAAATAGCTGCTGTTGCTGCTATGGAAATGCTGAAAGCCAATGATGATAGGTACTCCAGCAAACAGCAGAATCTAAGGACAGTAGTCAGTATATTTCAAGAGGAGGGAAAAGTGTCTTTGAGGAGAAACAGTACATATTACATAAAAGGCAAGACAGGATTTTTTGTTATTTGTTTGGTTTAATGATTTTTGTAAATCTTCATTGGTTGCTAAACATGGATAGATTTTAGGATTGAGATTTATTTAAGAAACAAACTTGCCAGTGGCAGATGAATTGTCCTTAAGAACCTTTTGGGGAAAACTCCTGAAATAAGTGTAGAATTGCAGTAACAGTTGAAATGGCTGAAAATATACAGTGTTGTTTTGGATAAAGCAATGTTAACACCTGCTAACAATTTTAAGGATCTTCACCTGTGGATGAAGTTAATTGCTCATATCTCCAATTTGGCAAGTCTTGTGTGCTTGAAAGCTTTTATCTACTGGTATCAGTTTGTCTGACAAGATGTCAGGTTGAGGTGTGGGAAGTGCAGTGTAACTTGCATAAGTTTTGAAAGTACTTGGAAAGGTTTTGTCAAGGAGAAGTGATTAACTGAGTCATACAGAGCAGAAGAGAAGTCAAATGGATTAGAGACCTGGTGCACAGATCAGGAAAGGAGAGAGAAGGCAACACATATTACTACTTTTAGAGTAGAATAGGTTCTCTGGGTGCTGTAAAACTTGTCAATTTGCTAGGATATTCTCTAGCAAAATAGCACATTGCCTTCATGTCTTAACTTCACAGGTTATGTTGAAAATCACTTCAGTGAACAAAATAGTTTTCTTAATATCCAGGTTGACAGGTTTGTGCTTTGGCTGTTGTATATTATATGAGACAAGTTAAATAGGTGAAGTCAGAAGGGACATTTCCTTGGTCTGCTTAAAAGAACAAGTAATTGCTGCCTTGTTTTAATTGATTGATAGAGTCATACATTAAAAGATTTGCCAAGGTGAGGTAACAAATCTTAGCAGCTAACTAGCCTGTGCTTGTAACTGGACTAGAAATTAAGAAGGCTTAAATGCATCCAAACCTGTTTAGCTGTGAAGAATGTGCTATGCCTTGGCACAAGGTAGACTTCCAAAAAAGCAAGAAAAAAAATAAAGCTGCTGTACAAATAAATCTATTATGAATTTGCCATCTGGAGGTTTCTGGTGTTTTCAAGACCTTCTTCAAATGTGAAATTCGGAGTTAAGTCAGGCTCTTAGTAAGAGAGGTGCCTGTAGAGCAGAGCTGGGTTTGTTGGTTCAAGGTTATGAAATCTGATAAGGAAGCAAGCCTGCCTGGATTTTGTTTGTGTTAGGGTTCTTTCTGTGGACATAATTCCACAGTGACCTCAGTGTTTCTCAAACTTCGTTTTTCTATTGTTATTATTACAACTTTTTAAAAACTCCCTTCTTCCAAGAAACATCTGCACTGAGTAACAGTTGACTGCTGTTGCTAAATGACTTTCTGAAGCAAAGTCTTGGCTGTCAGCACAGTTTTGAGAACCAAGCATCAGAAGAAGAGCAGAGAGGCTGTCTTGTGTTTTCACTGTTATCCATATCTGGTACCCAAGCATCATCAAGAAGTAGCCTGACTTGAAAGCAGCACAGCAGAGAATGGGGGGATTGGGTTGCACTGAAGCAAACAAATGAAAAGGGAAGAGCTAAGTGCTGATGAGAGGATGGCATCTGGGTAGAGGCTGCCGTTCTCACCCATGGAATGATTCCCTGCCTTTTTGGTTTCTACTGTTTTATGAAGATTTGTCTTGTCGCTGACATTCTGTGGAATTCTTCACCTAATGTTCTCCACATTCCACAAAACTTGCTCATAGCCCTGGGCATGGATCACAGATTGTAAGTGGCAGAGTCGCTTCAGGGTGTGAGTGATGTTATGTACAGGGTTGAATGCCTCAATAAGCTCTGGGTGTTTGTGCTGTCAGCTTTGCTCTTGAGCTGCCGCAGTTGTCCTGAGGAAACTGGGAAGAGAGAGCATCAGAGAAGGATGGGTTGTATACATTTGTCTTCATTGGCAAACACCTCTGTACCCTGGCATGTTTCCAGCTGTTAATGTGATCCACCTTGTTTCTAAGTAACAGATTATGGCAATTTTATTTAATTACTCTTCTCTGATATGTTTCACTGCCTAATTGCACAGGCACATGCCCTCCTGCCCTCAAAAATGTTTTTTGACCATAACAGTTTTTGATTACACAGGAGATGGCAGATTTGGGTCATGTTCACAACAGCTCCAGCCTTATTTTTATTTGCATGTTTCACATATATATCAACTGCTTGCTTACTTGTAACTTGTAAGACTGAAAAAAAATTCACAAGTGAAAATTTTGTAAATTGGAATTGCAGCTGAAATCCCCCTTGAAAATTCCCTCAGAATTCCACTCTGCTACCAGTGGAAATTTGCTAGATCACAAATTTTTAATAAGTTTGCTTGTTAAGTAGCAGATGTTCAGCTGTATTGCATATAGTTTACTTAAATACCCTATTAAGAAGAGAGTCTGTTTTTCTAGCGACTAACTTTTTGTTCACCTAAATACACGGAAATACAATTACATGTTTTGTACAGAATATTTACTTTCAGAGCTATATGTCCTTTTTCTCCACGTAAAGGAATTTACCTTATTGTCTATTAATGAAAGCACAAAATACTCTTTAATAAGCTTTTTGGGATTTTTTTTTCTGTTCCAGCAATGTCCTCGTGCTTGTAGAAGCGTCATGACACACAGCAGCATCATGGTGGATGTAGGCAAGTGGCCAATATTTACATTGCTGTCCCCCCAAGAAATCGCTTCCATTCGCAAAGCGTGTGTGTTCGGAACGTCGGCCAATGAAGCCATTTACATCACGCACAACGACGAGGTGAGCCTGGCAGCGAACTGGGCAGCTACTCCACAATCAGCTGTTTCCAGAATGTTTGTAGATTAATAGCTTCTCAACAGCATTATGTGAAATTTATGTTTTCCAAAATGTGGTAGATACAACGTTTGGTTTTTTTAAAGTTCTGTGTGGGCACAATATAAACAGACTTTAGAAAACTTTAGCATGGCAAAGGCCAGGATGATTATGTGCACTTTTGAAGACAGGCGAAATTTAAAAGAAGATGTGGTAGCTTGAAGTTAAGTGCAAACAGGTGTGAAGATGGAAAATGAGGTTATGGCTTGCTAATTAAAAAATACCATGAAAGATTATCTCTAGATTTTAATGATTTAGAAACTCATAAGTTAGCATAGTGCTGTGGAAATAAAACAAGCCAGGTGTTCTGGGATGTATTAATGGGAAGATTGGGTAGAGAAGGATTTTTTCCCCGCAAGTCCTATCAATAGTGCCTGTAGGATGAGCTTCCCACAGTATAGCTCTTTACATGCTTATGCTTTATTTGCTATTTACAAACTGCTTTTAAAAGAAGGTGGTGTCTTCCACTTTTCACATTTTCAGGCTTTTTATGGTGCAGTTCCTGAAAATAAAAAGCCTAACTTCCAGGACTGTACAAATCTGAACAATTCAGACTCACCAGTTAACATCCAAAAGTGCCTTTATGCTGACTGTTGAGATTGTTAATTTCCTTGCAGGATGTCTCTGGCCCCTGGAGGTCCAAGGTGAAACTTTGTCCCCAGTTAATGAAGACCTGAGTATTACACATCTGTGCATACTTGAGTATAAAACATTTGAAGTAAATATTCTTTTGTTTTTCAGGTATTTGTTTTTGGACTGAATTGCAGTAACTGTTTGGGAACTGGAGATAATCAGAGCACAATAGTACCAAAGAAATTAGAGGCCTTATGTGGAAAGAAGATCTCCAGTCTCAGTTATGGAAGTGGGCCCCATGTTGTTCTTTGTACTGAAGGTAGAAAATTAACATTTAATATAGAAACACAAGTTAGAGATTTAAACTTCCACTTGCATTTGACAATAATGGATTATGGTGTAATTGTATTAACTTGTTAACTGGCTAATGTACACTAAGAGGTTCTTCTTGGTCTTAAGTTGGGAGTAAATGGATTTTGCAATCGGTAAAGTTTCCATTTTCATTATGCTGAGTTTGCAGCATTTTACTCTGTCACTTATGATGTACTTTATCTTACCTGTGCACTTCCATGTATTTCCACAATCTAGAGGATATGCTGTGATATATGAGTATGAAACAAAGTATATAATTTTCTAGTGTACAGATGATTTTTCTAATGGTTTCACTTTTTGTTAACATCCGTTCAATTTCATGTTGGTGGTTGCTAATTTCTTAAAATTCTATCTTAATCTCCCTGGAATTTTTAGTGGTTTTCATCATAAATATTTTTGCAGATGGTGAAGTGTATGCTTGGGGACATAATGGTTACAGCCAACTTGGAAATGGCACAACCAATCAGGGCATTACTCCTGTTCAAGTTTGCACAAATCTGTTAATAAAGAAAGTGGTGGAAGTAGCTTGTGGCTCTCATCATTCCATGGCACTCTCATTGGATGGAGATGTAAGTTGAAACCTGTTCAAATCTCTTAATCTCATTGTTGAAGTGAATAGTGGAGGTGACCTTGGAGTTTGAACTTCTCTCTTTTTCTGCAGTGTAATTACAAACATAACCTTTTCTCCTGCTGCCTCAAACTAGGGTGTCCTTTTCTTCAAAACAGACTTGAAAACAACTAAAAACGCCAAAAACTGAATTGCTTACCGCCTGCCAAAAAAAAGCAGCCCCAAAACCAAGGGAAATAGAACTTAGTAACTTTTGTGTCTCTCACAGGGGTGATACTAAAAAGATGTGCCACTAAGAGGTGAAATAATGGTTTGTGAGGTGCAAAATGTAATTTATTTGATTGCAGTTAGTTAGAGGGTGTGTTGAATTTGTTAGAATTTAGTCTGTTTCTTATAGAAATGTCTTGCACTTCCACACTGGTACTGCAAAAGAATGTTGCTCTGCACACCTCTGAATACCTTGGTGTGTAGCTAATGAAGGAGTCCTTGGTTTATATCCAAGTCTGCTTCATGCTGTTTATGTGGCTTCAGGCTACGTGTCATGGGAAACACATGCAATTAGTTTCCAGTTATGCAGATTTGACCAATGCACGCACAGTGGAAAATCTGGTTTCAGCGGTGCACTAACAAAAGAAAAGTTCTGATTTTAAAGCCTTTTAACAATGAAAAGGGAAACTACAGTTCTTCTCATCCTGGTAATCTGAGCATGTCTGTGTTGTGGTTCAGTATGGAATAATAGTGCAACTGTAAATACCAAGTATTTTAAGGGTAGGAAAGGGAAATTGGGTTAAGTGGTCTGTGTTTATCTGAAAGAAACATGACAGAACAAAATCTTTCTTACGTGTAGGCTCTTGTCTTGGTTAAACTATAGAACTTAGTGAGCTTGCAGGAAAGAGAGGGCATTCATGCATTACTTACACTAGAGGTGCCAGCTGCTGTTGGTAGCTGCCTGTGAAGGCCATGCTATCTCATGTCATAAATGTGACATGCTTGAAATCTCAGTGAAAGCGGGGAAATTTCTTTGTGTTAACCATGGAGTTGGTATTTGCAGCCGGCTCGCCAGTGTGGCTCATTAATGTACTTTTTAAATCCATCCCTGGTGTACCTTGCAGTAACTTGGTCTGTTTGTACTCTGAGCTTTTACCAGAACTGAGTGCACTGAAAGCAGCAAAATGTGTTAAGCAGCTTTACAGAAAGATTTGGCTGCCAGCCTCCTTGTGTCCTAATATACCTGAAGTCTCAGAGAAATGCTGAAGTTGGAAGTATTTGTGGAAATACCTGGCATAATTGATTGGTATGGGTCAGTGCAGTTTTAATGCAGTGCAAATATGAAAAGTATTTTAATGATAGAATTAAGGGAATGCAGACATTCATGCTTCTCTGGCATATCCTTTGGCATTTTGGTCTGCCTCCTGAGATTCTCTACCTAAATATTTGCTGTTACTGAATTTGAAGTGTTTTATAAAGCATCGTCAAATATTCAGTAGGAGTCAAAGATTCAGCAGTTAGAAATAAAAAAGCGAAGGACTGATTCTTTCTTTTGTTCATATTATTAATTGTACATGAATTGTGTTGGTGGGGGGTCTTTTGTTCTTGTCTTTGGTGGGTTTGGGTATTTTCTGGTGCTGATGGAGGTGTTAGTTTTTAATGACTTTTAATGACTCTTGGCTTAGTGTTGCAGTAAACAGGTGGCTTTTGGCACCAAAGGATGTGTAGGCTTCTCATGAGAGTACCTATCAGTGCGCTTATACTGCCAAGCATGTCTGGAGGTTGTTTCTAAGAGGGCAAACTTTTGAACCGCGTGAGGCACCAGAAAACGAACCATCAGAAAGTTTCATGCCAAGCTGTGAGCATGTATGCATGCAATAAAAATTGGAGGCACTGAAAATACAGTTAACCATTTTTTTAATAGCAAACTACTTCCCTGTCTTCCTGACTTTCAGATAAAAGGAACTCATATTTTTGCTTGTATTAGTACTAGTTTGCCACCAGAAACTTTAAACTGACAGAAATTGTGGGTTTTTTTTGTTAATGCCACTGTGTGAGAGAATTTAGCTACTATGAAACACGGGCTGACAAAACCCTGTTCTTTCACAGCTCCTGAAAGATGTAGAAGAGGTATGATGAGTGTCCAGCAATAAATAACCTGGTTTAGAGTTCTGTGAAGAAAACTACAAAGCTCTAAATTGGAGAGTTAAAGTGTGTCTGGGAAGCAAATGATGTCCTGACTTGCATTCCAACATCACGAAATTATAAAGACAATCACTATGCTCTTTGTCTTACAGTCCTGACTTGTATTTAGTATGGAAATATGTTCCTTTTGTTTTCTGTTTTAGTCAGATGCTCTCATTCTGTTGCAATAAGCTAGGAAAAGTGCTGTATTCCTATTTGCTAAATGAGTCCTAAAGTTTGTTTATAATATTAATCTGTTGGAAATGAGGTAGTATAGTTTACCCGATCTGGTGCTGACTATGGGAAGATTATCTGTTGCTATCATTACTATTATTGAATTTAAAACTGTGGTTCTGTTTGTTTGTATGGGCAGCTGTATGCTTGGGGCTACAATAACTGTGGTCAAGTTGGATCCGGATCTACAGCCAACCAGCCAACTCCTCGCAGAGTTTCCAACTGCTTGCAGGGTAAAATTGTAGTTGGCATTGCCTGTGGCCAGACCTCCTCCATGGCTGTAGTAAACAATGGCGAGGTAAGCGCTGCTGCTGCATTCCCTCATTCTCTGTTACCTGAATCTACCAAGTTGGTGTCTGAATATGGAGAAATACTGACAGGGAGCGCTCAGGTTACAGCTGTATTGGCAGAGTTATCCTGACAACTTCTGCAACGCCAGCTGCAGGAAAACCCTGCAAGTAACTGGAGATGCAGTCTTTGAATATTCCTTCTTATGGCAAAGACTGTATTGGAACACAATTCTTACTGAGTCTGCAACTGTAAGAATTTGTCCAGTTGTATTAACCATGTCTGTCTTCATGTTGCAATAGATTATTTAACATGAGTTATGTTAAATTATTTTAATTAATTAAATTAGTCTCAGATTATTTTTCAAAGCATGCACAATTAAACAGTCAATTTTTCTGCAAGGATACATTGATCCTGGTTTTTAAACACATTGTTTAATTACCAGCAACAAACCCAAAGCATTCTTTTGAACATTGCCCTCCCATTGTGCAACTGTTTCATTTGACTTAAGTCTATGGTGCTGTCTTGCTTTTAGGAATGAACGGTAACTTCAGTTTTATTTCATTTCACCAAACAGAGGATAGTATCTCCTCGTGAATGGAAGGACTGAGAAGTCCCTGAGGCTGAGATGGGCTTTCATTGTATTTACATATATCATGGTGTGTCCACTGTAACAAAACTAAAGGAAGAATTAGAGATAAACTGAAGATTTAGTGTTCTCAAAAAAAAAAAGGAAAAGTAATAAGGACAAAGGATGGCATAAAAGTCAAATTGTTGATGCTATGGGGAGATTTTAGTGTAAGTTTGTAGTAAGTGTAAGTTTATTGCAAAATTCCTAGTACTTCAAAGACATGTTTTTTAACTTCTTTAAAAGGTAAATGCAGAGCGGAGAAGTTGAGTGCAGTAAGTCGTTGCAGTTTATTTAATATCTTTCAACCTTCTCTGTATTGCTATTAAATAGCACACAATTTTTTAATGATAAGTACTTTTCTTGACTCGTGCTTGATACTAAGTCTTAAATGCTCTATACTCCTAGCAAAGAGTGGCTTAATTTTGTTTTCCTTGTGCACTCAGGTTTATGGCTGGGGTTACAATGGCAATGGCCAGCTCGGCCTGGGGAACAACGGGAACCAGCTGACACCATGCAGAGTGGCAGCACTGCACAGCGTCTGTGTGCTCCAGGTATGCCCAACGTGGAAGTGAAGGTGCATTCCTGCTGCTAGCTTCTGCTGGAACCCTCTCTTTGGAATATTATACCTACTTCTAGATTGCACTAGTTCTAATACTGAATTTTTTTAAGCTATAGTGAATTATATTTTGCTTCTACAACATGCAAGTAGGCTGTGAAATTCTTGCTTTGGTAAATCTTTGGAAAGATTTAAAGTTAGCTACTGTAACTATTAGTAAATTTTTCTGTGTATACACGTTGCACTTTTGTTACAAAGTTGAATGAAATGGTCTAGTCAAAGACAACAAGGCGAATCAGATGTTCGAATTTGTTCTAAGTATTATAATTCTAGTATCCTAATTAGCCCTTTAGAAGCAAAGGGAGAGAAAAGACAGGAGCCATGGGGGTGGGTTTGATTGGTGGTTTGGTTTAGTTTGGTTTGTTTAGATTTTGGTTGTTTTTTTTTTTCTAGCTAGAGAATCAAACTAAAATTTGGGATTTCCTAGTTTTTGGGAAGGTTCTGTAGAGTTGAATGTGATGAGTTGGGTTGAAGGGTTGTTGGCTGTTGAACTGCAGCTCTTCTCATTGCAGAGTACTCATACTGTATGATATTTAGAATAATCCAGCTCTGAAATACTTTGAGTATTGCAAGATGTGATGAAGAAGTTCAGTGTTCCTCATGTGAAAAGAAAGCAGGTAGCATCTAGGGAGACTTGTCTAGTGTGTAGTAAATTACTTGGGAGCAGCCAATTAAATTAATGAAGCTGGGACTTTTGCAGTACCTACAGCTAACACACCTTGTGTTAGCTACAAATACTGAGAAGTAACATTGTGGTGCTGAGTGAGGTTTGCCTTAAATCCTTACCATGAGCTAGCCGAAGGTAATGTGTGCAATATTTTGTTTCTCATCTGTCTTTGGTTCGGGAGTAACGCTTTATACATTTACTTACAGATTGCCTGTGGCTATGCACACACTCTAGCACTAACAGATGAGGGCTTGCTCTATGCCTGGGGAGCTAACACTTACGGGCAGCTGGGGACTGGCAATAAAAGTAACCAGCTCAGCCCCGTGCAGATCATGATGGAAAAAGAAAGGTAATATTGCTGAAGCTGTTTCTGGATTTATAAAGTCTGAGTACGTGTTATGCAGTCTCTAGCACTGGATGCATGCATGTATTGAGCTTGGTGGATTGTTTTTCTGTTGCCAATGTTAAAAATACGGGAAAGGATGGTGGCTTACTGTTTACAATAAGCACTGAGTACATTTTGCTGTCTGTAATGGTTATTGAACACAAACACACTTTGCATTTACCTGACACTGAAAGATAATGAATAAGTGTTATGCTATTCTGTGTATGGTTCCTTTGCTTAAAACCGGAGCTATGAAATCAATAAGCCAAGCCATGAAACGAGGACTACATTAAAAAAAAAACAGGTGGGGAGAAATGAAACACCGCTTTTGCAAGAAGTGACATGTGAGGAAAAATAATTTTTGAAAGGTTGAAAATGGTCCACCATGAAAACAGAACTCAATTTGCAAGATTGCTTGGGCTAAGGACAGTTACTACTCATTTTTATTACTTGTACCAACTACTACTTGTTAATAGTTTGTGGGACTGTTAGTAGTTTGTAGTTTTTTAGTTTCCTGAACTCAACCCTTGTCAATCCTCTTTCATCATCCTCATATTTGGAGGTAGCTCTTTTGCTTCTTACCTACAAATGTGGACCTCAGTCCCATTCTCTAGGCCTACAGATTAATGTACCTTGTCTTGGTCTACAGATCTCTTAATTTGCAATCTACTCTTCACTAGGAAGCACTTCTGCTTGGTTTCTGTCCTCCATCTGGGAAGTCATTCCTGGTTTTTGTTGTTCCTCCCACTTAGCATTAAATTAAAAGCTTTGCAGTACTGAGAATGTTTAAGAGCTTAAAAAATGGGGGGCAGGGAAAGAAGAAAGGAACTATCACAATAAAAACCACTGAAGTGGGGTTGGTTTGTCTGTGAAGGAACTGACACTAGTGAAGGAAAATGAAATATTCTTTAAAAAGTAGTGGAAGAGAAATGTGTACATTTGCAGATAGATAAACTTTGTTTTACTAGTGATTTATTTAATGAGTGAACTAAGGGGAACTATTGCATTTAGAATGTATGTGAACTCAAGCATGGGGTTATAATAAAATTGGCATTTTTTCAATGGATGAAGGAGAGGAAAAATAGAACTTCTGCTTGGGATCTAAGTCACTTGAACTTAGTCATCTTGCTTGACTTGGCTCCCTTGGAAACAGTGCTAAAAGTGGGTGAGCTGTCATTTCCCATGAAGCACATTACTGCTGCCTCTGATCTTTTAGTTTATGTAATTCTTTTGTCATTTATATTTAATGCTGGCAGCAGTTACTTAGGCGGTTTCATTTGGTGCTGTCTTGAAAAATATTGCACATACAGCTTGTAAGGAATGTTTAGACTTTATTTGGTTAGCTTGGAGGAACAGCTGTGAAGGTCAGCTTCCTGAATTTTGGTGTTAAATGCGTGCTTAACATGTTACCCTGTACATGTACTGTAAACATATGTACATGTACTATATGTGTTCTATAGTACATGTTCTGCTGTACTGCTGAAGTGTAATATAGTCTGTAAAAAGAAGAATCTGTTCTGCTAAGAAAAGGTTTGGAGAAAGAAGTAGTTTAGCTTGATAGCTGTGATGAAAAGTAAGTTCTCCCTAAAATAAATACTCTATTTTGTGTCTTGTAGAGATGTTGCATAAGAGGTTCATAAGTTGATAGTAGTGTAAAACAACCAGTCAGTTTTCTATCTGCCAGAAATAATTGATACATATACTGAAAGGGATGTAGATTCTTTGAGTTTTGTCTTGAAGTAATTGTTGCACTTAAAGTATGAACATTGTGCAATAACTTTTTTTTTTGCCTAAAAATCTAACTATCCATGGATATTGTTCTGTTAAGGAATGCACATTTTTGTGTGTGTATTCTTAGATTGCTTGGAAAGGTATTTGTTTGTCCTGGTTGATGTGTTTCTGGCACAAAACATGAAATCCTCTGATGTGTTTTTATACAGAGAAAAAACAGGAAAGCGTAGCTTTTATTTTGAACATGGGAACCTCCCTGTTTTGCTTATCACATGCACAGAAACTCTGGCAATGTCTGTGGTGTTTTAATTGGAATTTTGTTTCTTCTCAGTTCTTGCAATGTTTCAGATAAGAATCTAGGGATTGCCTGAGCAACAGGAGAATGGGATAGATAAGTGAGCATCAGCAGATTTAGTATTTTAAAGAACTGTGTGAGGTGGGTAGAAGCACTATGTAGACTTTATTTAAAAACAACCTTAAATCCTCTTAAAGCATTCATTCCCCTCAAATGAGGCACTGTGTTTCATGTTGAATTTCAGTCTTGAGGAAAGTAAGCTTAACAGCAAAATAAGCATTCTGAAGTACAGGCAGTGGGTCAGATATCTGTCAACCTACAAAAATCAAATTAAAAAGAGGTAGAAGAAATTTCTTCTTGAGAATAAGTTTCTGATGTGTGTTGGTTTTAAGGGGGGGGAAGAAAAAACTTGATTTTTCTTCATCCTTTTTCCATGGTTATGAAAAAACAGGAGGAAAGTCAATTGATAAGAATTACATAGGTAAAGTAATATATGATTACAATAAAATCTCCAAGCAATCTGAAAATGTCATTGTGGGATTTTTAAAAACCTGTTCAAGCAGTATCACATTTCTGCAGGACAAAAACCCAAGTACAGTATTGCTGCTGCATAGTTGGGTTGGCTGTTATTTTGGTGAGGCCTTTGGAAAGTCCCTGGATTCCGTACCTGCGAGTGCCTCACCGTGTTTCTTGTGCCCGCAGGGTTGTGGAGATCGCCGCCTGCCACTCTGCGCACACGTCGGCGGCCAAGACGCAGAGTGGCCAGGTGTACATGTGGGGCCAGTGCCGGGGCCAGTCCGTGACCTTCCCCCACCTCACCCACTTTGCCTGCACGGACGATGTGTTCGCCTGCTTCGCCACCCCTGCTGTCATGTGGCGCCTGCTCTCCGTAGGTCAGCTCCAGCTCCCACAGTCCCTGTGTCCGCTAGTGATTAGTACAGCATACTGCTTCCGTGGCAGCATCCTCTTTCAGGGAGGAAAGCTTGGTAACTCAGCAGCTGGTTGGTTGTTCCTTCTGAAGAAAACAGTCTATTTCAGCAGCTGGGGATCAAGGGTAGGGTTGACAAGATTGTTTGCCAGTGTGCATCCAAAGTAAAACCTGTTTTACCATTGTCCGATGAGTACTGTTATTTCTTACATTTGTGTTGTTTGCTCACGTCCAGGAAGTAATCCTGAGTCATTTAACAAAACTCTGGGTTTTTTTCCTCTTAAAACTATTCCTGCTTGGAAGACTACTCCTGAGGCTTGTTTTTTTGGTATCTAAAAACTTTGGATTTTAAGTGTTGTCTGTAGTTTTCCCCTTGTTAGTATTTGCCTTTTTAGGAGCAAATCTCTTCCCTATGTTTTCTTGTTTTGAAAGTAACAGAATTCCAGGTTTTCATTTCATGAGATGATTTGTCTCAAGTCTACTTAGTTTGACTTTTCTCAAAGACAGGCAGACTTGTAAATAATAGTTGCTGTGAAACAAGACTCTTATATAATTGTTTTTCTGTTGGAACTTTCTTCTTATACTGCCTTGGATTACTCTGTGGGATGCAGTCTCTGTGTCCAACCAAGAAGCTCAAACCTTTTTTCTTGATTTTCTTTGATCCACATGCTGCTAATTCTTATTTGACCCCAAATAGGATATAAAGGGCTTAGCTTGCACTTCCTGGAAAATGAAGGTGTTTTCATGTTCAAAAAAATAAGGATGTTTCATCTTACATCTGCTGCCTCAGCTCTCAAAATCTCTTAGGACATCTATTTTCCTATTGATAACAGACCATAATTTTGTTAGTCCCTGTATGGAATTGTTTTTGAGGGACGATGGATCACATCCTGAGTAACCTCTCTCCAGTAAAGTCTCTCAGACTTGGCTGTTGCATTTGGCTTGTCCTAAACCCAGCTTCTCTGTGTTCTAAACTTCTCATTTAGCATGTTGCCACATTTGCAGAGGTCCAGGTAACCTATAGGGGACAATTGAGTAGAATTACTAAAGAGAGACAATTACCTTCGAGCAGTCTGCTCCTGAGTAAATCTAAGTCCGCTTTTATCCCATTTGCCACTTTCTCTATTCTCTAATCCTCTGCAGTATGTGCTGGTCTTGCTTTCTCTTGCCTCCACCACTTGTGGAGGTCTCATGGCTGTCCAGTCTGCTGCCTTTTGCTAATAGTGAGAGCTGTTCAAATGACATCTCCCCCTGGTTTCTAGGAAGTATTCCCAGACTGAGTATAGCCAGGTGTCTGACTTCTGTTACCTGCACTTTAATTCCTCTTAGCTTTTGGGGATTCTTCCCTATTTATTCTGGCAGTTTTACTGAATATTTAAATCAAGGGAATTAATTCTGTGGGCATTTTAAAATCCCCATTTTCCATACGCATGTTTTCCTTTCCCACCTGTTTTAATCACATAGGAGTAAACCCTTCTCTTTTTCTTAAGGCTTTTTTGTTTGCTTGGGGTTTTGGTGTTTTGTTTTCTTAGAGAGAGCTTACTCTGTGTAAAGGTTATTGTTCTACTTACAGTTACAATGTCTCTGCCAAAAAATGAATCAGACAATCAGGATTGGCTGTGGAGAAGTACAAATCTGCAACCTTTTTGCAGGACTTAAAGTATTTGGAGTGAAAGTTGATCTGCATAGCTTAAACTAAGCTCATGACCTAGCAAATAGATCATATGAGCAAATGGAGAGGGATTGGAGCATGGTTTAGTTAGGCCAGAGGAGATGCAGTTTCTGTGGGTGAGTAGTGTAAGTCAGAGGAGTGCAAGGTCTTCTGTGGCATAGGCATGACTTGCCAGTTCTGAGTAGTTTGTTCCACAGTATTTCTTTTTAAATACAAAATAATTTAGTGTCCGTAATGGTGAAAAGTGGTGTGCAGATTGTATATGGATGAACACTATACAGTCCTGTGGGACACAGGAGACAGATTGCATCCCATTTAGCAGAAATCCTTTGCTTTTCTTTTCCATGCTTCACTTCTTAGGAGCCGTGTGCTTTGAAACACACTTTTAAGATGCATCAAAATAATGGGTTAAAATTAGGTTTTCTAAAACGTCAGAGGCCTTGCTTTACCAAAAGCCTTAGATAACTTGTGCCTGGAACTCCTGTATGATTTCTAGAGACACAGAGTGGGATCTGTGGTATCTCTACTTTAATCCACTTCCAAAGCTGCTGAGGTTCTGTGTCCTTGGTTGTACCTTCAGCAGCACTGCTGTTGGATTTTGTTTTGTTATAACTAACTCATAAACTGAGTAATTGGTGTCAGTGATCATTCATGTTAATGAGCCTGGCAAAGATCTCATCAGCCTGCAGGCCGTGCAGGCCGTATCCAATCTGCCAGCACAGAAAGGTGACCATGTAGTGACCTGTTTTCTTTTCAGGCTCAGCCCACACTGACACTGTGTCAGTGTGGCTGGAGTGCTGCAGGACGTGCCCAGTGAGTTCAGGGGTGTTGCAGAGTCCCATTAGCAGCACTGTGTGGATCAGGAGGCAGAGCTGAGCTGAGCCAGCACAAGCACTGAGCTGCCTGGAGGCTGGGAATGCCATAGGTAGTGCCCACATGGGGTACTTCCCTTAGTGCCGTGCTACCTCTGTGTAATAGGATGGAATGGGAACTGCTGACCATGACCACTGCAGCTGTTGTGGAGCAGCCCTTCCCAACAAGAAATGGTATTGGATTCATTAATCCTTCCCATTTTGCTGCTAAAGCCAATGGATCCCTGGCATGGATCTATTTTCCTTGATACACTCTTTGCTGAGTTGCTAGCTTTAGTTAGTGATGTGTGTGTTCCATTTAAGATGCTTTTAACCTCTTGTTTTGTTTGTTTGTTTTGAAATTGCTTCTGTAGAACATGAAGACTTTTTAACAGTAGCAGAGTCTCTGAAGAAAGAGTTTGACAGTCCAGAAACCTCAGACCTGAAGTTCCGTGTGGATGGAAAGTACATCCATGTCCACAAAGCTGTTCTGAAAATCAGGTAGTGGTCGTGTTTCACAGCTCTTATTTGTACAGAACAAACGCTTAGGAGATCATCAAAGGGGCAAACAGAAAGTAAGAGGGAAGGAGGGACTCCTAAACCTGTAGTAGGTAGCATCCATGTATCCGTAATAGCTTTAAATGAAGTGATTGTAAAAGGGGTGGTCCGCATTCATTTTTCATGGAGCCTGTTTTTCCCGGGATAATAAATTCTGTTAACTTGGTCTGATTGCAATGTATACACAAATGTTTCTGTAGCATGGACAAAATAAGAATTTTATTTAAATGCATAACAAAGTCTACAGTGTTAAGAGCCAAATGTGGACTGCTGGCTCTGATGGGGCATGGGAAAATATTTGTGAGTATTGCAGAGTGCCCCAAATACGTATTTCAGGGGGACTGTAATGTAACATTTGTGTGTGTATGTATAATAGTGTTCCAGATTACGTCTGTCTCCTAGGTGTGAGCACTTCAGAACCATGTTCCAGTCATACTGGAACGAGGATATGAAGGAGGTGATAGAAATAGACCAATTTTCCTACCCTGTGTATCGTGCCTTTCTCGAGTACCTATACACGGACAGTGTCGACCTCCCGCCTGAAGATGCAATAGGTACTGCTGATGGGCCAGTTGTGTCAGAGAGCAGCATCCAGAAAAACTGGGGTGGGGTATGCAGAATAAGTGACTGAATACAGGCTTCTAGCCTAGCCTATAGTGTGTTTTACTGGTGATTAATTAAGCTGTCCTTAAAAAGTTGTAGCAAACTTAACTACAGCAAAAGTGGTGCATATTTAGAAATAAACTATGAGCAGTTTGGTCAAGGTTGGGAGAGAAACTATTTCTCTGGGTGAAAATGCTTGCATATTTTACTAAATTGAGTCAGTTACTATTTGGCATACTATTAAAGAATCTCAATAGATTTGATGGGAAGGAAACTTGGACAGCAGAGCAATTACAGCAAGCTGTAAGTCGGGCCCATATCTTGATAATAGTAGTTTTTTACTCATGCTGTGGTGTCTGCCACTAGGTATGCAAGTCAGTAGGACAGCTTTCATATTTACAGAGATTAACAGGAGTGCAGAATGAGATAATGAAAACCTTTTCTTTGCCTGCGTTTTCTGAATAGCAACCTACTTGGAAAAAGCTTGTTATAGAGACACAGAGCAGAAACTGATGATGAAAGAGCAAAGATCATTTTACAACTGACTGATACGATGGTGTTTTAATTGCAGGGCTTTTGGATTTGGCTACTTCATACTGTGAAAACAGACTGAAAAAACTGTGTCAGCACATTATCAAGAGAGGAATTACTGTGGAAAATGCATTTTCATTGCTCTCTGCTGCTGTCAGATATGATGCAGAGGTAAACTTCTAAAGTTCAGTCTCTTAAATGGTGGCTGCTTCCTGACTTAAACTATGGAGAAAAGCAGCTGGTTTCATTTTCGTATAAGCTCTCTCTTACTTCCATTTAATACTATTTGCCACTTTCAGAATTTGAGAATGTTGGTCTTGCATCTCATGGCAAATACAGTTTTTGTATCTCATTTTTTAATTGTTGTTTTTCCCCATAAACCAGTACTGGGAAGGTGAACTAGTATGCAGGTATTTCTGAGGATGGAAACACTAACTCTGAAACGAGGGGAGGATTTAAATAGAAAGGAAAAGAAGTAACATAATGAACAGCAGGCTTTTAAGCCTTAAGTTACTCATATGTAAGGCTATGTGATGACACATGGTGGTAGGTTGGGGATTGAGTGCATTTGGGATTTTTTTTTTTTTTTTTTTTTTTGGTGGTGGTGGAGTGGGGTTTTTTTTGGCTTTTTTTGTTTTGTTAGGTACAAAAACATTTGCAGTTTTCAGAGTATGCTAATGAAGTGTCAGGATAAGAACTGCTTCATGGGCCTTATAAAGACAGAACAACAGTGTGTGAAAAGAGGAGTGAAACCTCCTCACTGTGCAATGTCTGACTTTACTACTAGATCCCTAACATGCTGCTTTAGGAACTAATCAGGAAATATTCCTGGGCTTGCTTTGGCTGCTTGTGTTGTCATATCTGTGCATTGTGTTGGCAACTTTGCAATTGGTTGGTTTTGAACTTGCTACTTATGCTTCTAAAGCAGTTTTTCGGTACTCAGTAAATCAACTTACTGTTTTTTCTTGTACTTAATTTCCAGCAGCTGGCATGCAGGCTGCCCTAACTTATTTCAGAGCCTTGAAGTGTGTTGCTTGTTTGATAGTTCTTACCCAAAGGCAGTTTACAGACTGTTACTGTCTGTAGTGGCTTCTGATCTACTGGAATTGTGATGTCTTTAATAGAAGTTCATGAAAAATAGGAAGATTCCCATATTTTAGCCTCCAGAGATGGTTTGCAGGATGGGTCTTGGGTGTGTGATTGATTCTGCTTGTAAGGGCTGTAAGAAATCCAGTTGGCTCACCTGTACTTGCCTAGCTAAGTGAGGTTAGAACCTTCAATGCGGCTTCCAGGAGAGAATGGGTGATACTGAGGGGTTGGGCATTAACAAAATGTTGGGTTTATATGCTGCAATGCTGGCAGGGGGCTTGGACTTGCTTGGCTGATGTAGTTCATTCAGGGGGGTGTGTGCCTGGAAGACAACGATTAAAAGAAGCTGCTTCACTAATTTAAAATACCTCCATGACATCAAATTCCTGCAGTTTCTTTTGGTGGCTGACTGAAGTGGCTAAAATTAGGCCAGGGCTAGCTTCTCATTGTAGCTTTTAAAATAATCCTTAGCTGTACCTTGTGCCTTTAGTCACCTAAGTCTATATTAAGTACAGTTTGCTGGCAGCTCATGCATCTGCAAATAAAACTCAGCCTTCCTTTTTATACAGAACTTTAGATTTTCCAGAGTTACTTACTAATACTACAATAATTCTGTTTATTGTATGCTTCTGTTGCGTTGACTTGAAATATGAATTTTTAAATAAAGCAGTGCAAAATATTGTAATGTGTATGATGTAATTTTCTTTAAAATGCTGGTTAATTCTGTTATTTAAAAAAAAGTCAGTGTTCAGTTCTAATAAGCTTGTCTTTTTCTGTTGCACAGATGCCACACAAGTCAAGATCTGCAGCTTCAGAATGCCTGGTTTTAGGCCAGGATATATTTTTATATTATTGATGTGTCAAGAATTGTCACTGGCACACACAGTTGCTCTAGTTTCAGTACTGACCTTAAGAGAACACATTAATATTATTCAGTCTTTCATACCTCATGGGGCTTAGAGAGCTCTACAAGTTTATGCCTTCCTGCAGTGCCCAGTCTGCTGAGCAGCCAAGGAAGGGTGTGTTCTCACATGCAGAGAGTCCTACAAACATCTAAGAAAGAAATGAGAACAGGGTGGGGAGTTGCCCTTTTGCCAGGGCTGCAGCATCCTCCTTAGAGCATCTTAGATCTGCACCACAGAGTAGATTTCCTCCTCAAAAGAGAGTTGGAAATAATCTGAATGGGAAGTGTTCTGTGGGGAACCTTACACTGACAAGGACTGTGCCTTGTTCTTTAAGGCATCCTCTCTGACATCACCTGGGTGCAACGGTGGTTGTGAGGCTTTTCTAATTATTGCATGGGAAGCACTTCCAAGTAAACTCAAATATCCAGAGCTCACTGTCTGGAAGAATTGCTGTGCTGCACTGTGCTCCAGTACTGCACTTGAATCACATTCAGGAACTACGTTGTAGCACGAGTCTGTTTCTAATGCACAGAAAGACCTTCTGCCTAATCTCTCTTGTACAAGCTATCCAGTCAGGATACACATGCACTGAGCCTTGGGGACATTGAACTTCAAGGCTCTAGCTAAGCCCTTCAATAAGCAGGAAGGAAGTCAAGCAACCTTACACATAGATTTGTTTATATTGTGAATTTTCTTTATCCACAGTCTTGGTTATATATCATTACCCCAATGAGTTTGGAGTTTCAAAGTTGTCAGAGAATGCAGATGAAACTCTTCAAGCGTGAGAAATTAAAATATGTATTGCTCAGAACAGCTGTTTTTTTGTGACTGCTGCTGCATAGTGAGAAACAAGTTTTGGTTATTTCCCCTTGTTAACAGCATTTACATAGTGACTGTTTGGGGGAAACACTGAGAGCCACTGGGTGTGTTTGTCTAATTCACTGCAAAAATAAAACAAACAGGCATTTGTGCCTCAGTGAGATTTTCTGTGATTGAAAGCAAAGATAATAACTTTTTCTCTTCTTTTTTTTTATTCCCTTTCTAGGACTTAGAGGAATTCTGCTTTAAGTTTTGTGTCAATCATTTGACGGAAGTGACACAAACTACAGCATTTTGGCAAATGGATGGTCCCCTGTTAAAGGAATTCATTGCAAAAGCCAGTAAATGTGGAGCCTTTAAGAACTGAAAAAATGAGGCCGTAAGTCAAGGTGTTTGTAGGGTTCTTTTTCCAGCCACAACGTAACTGTGTGGGTCCAGGCAGGTGTTACCTGGTATCTTCCACCACAGGACCTGAAAGGCCACAGTGAAAACGTTTTCAGTGCTCAAGAGTGAACTGTTGTAAAAATGTCAAGCAAAATGCTCACTTGCATTGAACAAACCCAGATGGTGGAACCAGCTCAAGATTTCAGGCAGAGAGGAAATGCTGTACTGTGCAAAAGATTCTGGCTGGTGTTCTGGACTTGCCTTTCTAGCCTAGGAAATCTCTGTTCTAGCACCCCCTCCTCCTATTTCCAATTTACTGTTTGGGGTTGGAAAATAGTCTGACCTGAGCCACTGAATGATGTCAGTCAAATCATTAACTCCCTGGGATTATAGGGAAGCAAATGGCATGGTTATCTCTTCCTGCATTTGCATGATTGTGAATGAATTGGCCATTTGCTGTGTGTAATTAACCAAGTGTATCCAGTGCTTCAAGTGTGCAAAAATAATGTATCCTCAAAGCCTACACAAGTGACTTTGAAGAAAGGAGTTACTAGGAAAACTAATTTGAAGTAAATCTCTATATTTGGGTATATTTTAATGTAAGTTGTAATGTATACTTTGTGTAATCTGTTCAAGCAATATTTATAATGCTTAATGGAAATAATTCTACTTTTCAGTGACTTAAGATTATGTTAGTTCCCTTGGAGGGGGAAGGGAAAGCTATGTGGGGTTTTGCTTTTAATTATTGTCTAAATTTAAACTACATGTAATAAAATCCACTCTTTTGTACCTCTTCACTAGCAAACTTTGGATTTTGAAGAACATTGCAAGCTTTTTGTGTTACATACAGCATCTACGTTTCATTTTAAAAATCTCATCAAAACAATGAAGGAAAACCCAAACAAACAAAGCCAAAACTTAACTCACCCAATACAGTTAATCTTGTTGATTTCACTGTGCCTGACGAAATACCTGTGACCTTGATTTCAGAAATGAGCACATTTCTTTGTAGGCACTAATTTTAGACCTCAGTGATTCACTCTATGGATCTGACTTTTTATACTAAGTCATCGTTAAGTGGCTGTAACCCTTCAGAAGGTATGTATCGACATCCTTATCATTCTTACTGTGTTTAATAACAGAGGTCTTTGTTAATGCATTTTCGGTTTAGGTGGGTTTTTTTTTAGGCTGAGTGCCACTCAGGTCCTGAGCTTGGGCAGTAAACTGGTGCTGTTTCTAGGCCCAGAAGGGAAGCAGACTTGAATTCTGTAAGCAATTAAAATTACTATTATTTTGTTGAATGAGGCATACCTTATAGTTCAAGAGCTTGTTTTGAATGCTGTTATCCTGTGCTTATTAATCCCCACCTTCCTACAGAACAAGCTCAAGTGAGGAATTGCAAGTGGTCATGGAGAGAGTACAGATGTTGTAACAGGATGTCACACGTGTCACGTTTGCCAGTGCTCTGCTTGTCCTTCAGCCAAGGGCTGGGTAAAGCATGGCCTGACAGCATTCCCTCTTGGCCGTGTCCTGTGCAGCAGCAGGAACAGGGAGCACAACTCCACACACAGCTCCTTTAAAAAATGTTTTATTTTATTAACTTAGCCTGTCGTGGCTAAACAATGCTTTGCTGTATTCAAACAATATTTTAAAGACAAAACATGTGAAAGTTGAACCCTTTCTTGATGGAGAAAGGAAGATGCAGTCACTGCTGTGCTCCATCTGACATTGTACATGGTCAGAGTATAATGCCCAGCCCTTTCTAGGCTGCCTACAAACACTGCTTTACCACTGACATTACAGCAGGAACAGCCTGACCAGTCAATAAAGAATAATTTGGCTTTTTAATTAAGCTCCTGTTTATAATCCAGAAAGCTTCTTTGAGTGCAAGTTCTGCTCATTTGTCTTTTTTGGGAAAGCCAAAGCAGCACTATGATCTTTCAAACATAACTGTCTAGACACAGACAGCGAGGTAACTACTGCCCAGCCAGGAGAGGGTTCCCATAGTTAAAGTGACTTTAGCAAGTGTTCTGTGGCACCTGAACACTCCCTTGGCTTTGAGAAAAAAGTCATCACTGGAGTATTCTGTTTGGTTCTCTTGCAAAAGCTAAATTTAGTTTATAACACTCATTTATATTCCATTGTGGAGTATAAATAGAAATTCTTAGTGGAACCAGGGAAAAATTTCAAGATGAAGATTTGAAAACTTGAAGAACTTTAAATTACTGTAACAGTGAGGTATAAAAATTAGTATAACGCCTTATTCTTGCACCCATTCAGCCCCCATCTTGGGGCTGGGGAATTGGGCACTGACCCAATTGCTCTATGTGTTTTATCATTAGAAAATCCTAACTATTGCACCATCACAGACAAAGGTTATTCAGACACTGTACTGGATGTACTGGCGATGTTCTCTGGAGTAGGAAGGATGACTTTTTTTAAGTCCTGCAGTAGCTCAATCTTGTGATCCAGTCTTTTTCTGTTTTCAAGAAGTTTCTGGATTTTTTCTTCTGTTCCTATTACAAAAAAGGGGTAAAAAGCTTTTATTATTAAGAGAAAAAAAGATTTTATTATTATACATAAGTATTACTAATATAAGTTATATATTCATCAACGCTGCAGAGCTCCCGATGCTTGGTTTAACCTACAATAAAACCTTTGTGTTTCTGCTGCAATTTCTGTAACCCACCACCTTGCATGCCTGTTGTCCTCACAAAGAGCTGAACTCTGTGTCTGCTGAGAGCCTGGCTGGTGTGTCAGAGAAAGCACAGAGCAGGGGTCACATACTCTGTCATCCATATGCTGAAATGTGTAACAGCTAGTTTTGAGATTAAATTTAAAACATCTCAGCATATGTAAAAATTACTACTTTAGCTACTCACCCGCTGTGTTAATTGGCATATGAGTTTTCACAGTTCTGTTTTCAGAGCCTATTTGTGTGAAAACTCCTTCAACAATCACATATTTTAAATCTTTAAAGATACCATCTCTAAACGACACTCCTAAAGCAAATTTACAAGCCTAATAGATTTTAGTGAGCAACAAAATTAAACCTAAACACAGATGCCTTGGACAACTACATTCACAGAGGTTGGTCTGTGGACAACAAATTACTTTATCAGTGTGTGGGAATGTTGAGAGTGCAGATTCTAAGTAAGAAGAAGACATTTTGTATGAACTGAACCTGTTTTTCCTCTTTTGGGGAGATGTTGAAGGATGTCTCCAAAGTTGCAATGAGTAGAGTGGAGAAATTCTCTCCAACTGTTCACCTCATGCTATGCAGAATAAGAGAGCCTTAACTGATTTGGATAAAAACAAAACAGCACTTTGGCCTTTTACATCCCTGCTGCTTCTTCCTCTAGTCAGAAAGCGCAGCACCTGCTGCCTGTGGGTGCATGTGGAAGGTGATGCACACAGACGCTTTTTAAATATTACCCAAAGTTGGGTGTGGATGTTGAAAACACCATGGGAAATTCTGGTAGCATTCACTGACGAGGGACCTAGTGTTCGAGCCTCGCTTTGACTGAAGAGAAGGAGATGCCCCTTCCCTTCTACAGTCAGGTGACATATACTTGAAGAAGCTGGACATGTACAAGTGGAACCAGGGAAAAAAATCCCTCTTAGAGAATATCTGGATATGAATTAGTTATCAGATATTAACAAAGCAGCTCGGTTAGAGCATGGTGCTAATAATACCACGGTTATGGGTTCAATCCCCATACGCGCCACTTGTGATCCTTCCAACTGGAAGGTGGATCCTTTCCAACTCAGAACACTCTGTGATCCTGTTGATTCAGCATTTGGGAGAGCTACAGATGGAACACACACAGCTCAGTTTCTCTCCCGCCAAAAGGATGTGGCAGAAATAGAAGTAGCCCAGAGAAAGATGTCAGTGATGGGAAGGACTGGCCTACAGAAGTGCTTCTACAGGAAGGCAGGTAACAGATTGAGAACCTTCCACCTCATAGAGGAAATTACCTGAAGGGAAAGAAAATGTATTTCTGTAAAATCAAGAATGGCCTGAGGGATGTGGACCTGGACTGACTGCCCCACGTGCTATGGGGCTCTCAGTGAAGGAACTGCACAATAGTTTTAAAATTAAGAATCATAGTGTTTGTTTCCACAACCTTTATCTGAATTGCAGAATTTGCTGCTACAGATCTCCTGAAAATAAATGCTGTCAAGGAGCTCAAAAGCTCCTGGCCAGACTGCTGACCAGCACAGAGGAGAGGGAAGCTGATGGAGGCATCCTGCCCCAGCAGGACACACGAGAGAACTGAAAGCAAAACTTAAAGAAGTCACTTTTCCTTGGAGGAGAGGAAAAGAACCTCCAACCTAGAAATCTGAAATTGCTGCTGAGGTGACAGCATAGTCTGTGTGGAAAGTTTTATGTACAGTTGAGTTTGCAGTAAAGCTGCATGCTGCAAAAGGAGTATGGATCCCTGGGATCCTTGTATATAAAAGGGATTTTAGAAAGCCTTTTCAACAGTTTCAGTTCAGAGTAGCCTTGCTGTTCTAGCATGTAAGGAACAGGTTTTGCATGATGATTTAAGTGCCAAAAGGATTAAAGTTTAAGCATGGCAGAGGACCCAGAACCATCAGCTTGAGACACAGTATTTATACCAGTCCTACTTCATGTAGTCCTTGATTTAGTACGTCACCACAGAGACTTGCTAACTAGAGCTTATAAGAGATTATGACAACAGTAATAATAACCAAAAAAAAAGAAGGAAAAAAAAAAGCAGCTGGTGATCTGCTTCCCTCTCTAGTTTCACTTCTAATTAACATGGTTTTCATTCCTTTCTCACTGCTTCATTTTAAGAGCTCCTCTTGGATCAGTTTTGGAACTAACCTCATTATTGACCTTGAAGTTAAAAGATCTCAGAAAAGAAGATTGTATGGTACAGGAAGAATTGAGCTGCTTGAATTGTGGGGATTTGGAGAGGGAACAGCTAGTACCCGTGAGAATCACATGGTTGTGTGCAGGGAGGTGCCAATATTGAGAGATTTTCCTGTAAGCTGAGAAGAGGATGAAATAATTGATGCAGCCGTGAAAGACACAAGTGTGATCCAAGGTTGTATCACATAAGGAATTCTGAGCAGAGGTGTTTTAATGTCCTCAGATGAGGCACCGGTGGAACCTTGTGTCAGACACCTGCAACACTGGACACTACAACTAGAAAAAGAATTTAAATGCAAGAACAGGATTCTGAAGGGAGGAGCCTGACTTTTTCAGTCAAATGAAGGGGAAACAGCAAACATCATCTTCGCATACCAAACCTCAACATTAGCTAATTAAAACCCTTTTCACCAGAATAAATTAAAGCAAGAGTTAGAACAGCTGTTAGAGAGGGAAATAGGAAGCATGAGACTTGCCTGTCTGAAAAACAGCTTCAGCCTTGCTGTTTCAAACAGCTGAGAGTTCAAGCCCCAGAATTTCCTTCCACACTGTGCTCCCAAGCAACTGTTCCTGCCTTTGTCTGCATTTCACTCTGAGCATTCTCAACTTGTTTTTCAAAGCACAATAGCCCTCAGTCCAGGTGAGTTCTGCTGGCCTTTGGCTGCTGTGTTTCAGTGGAAAGCATTACTCTGACCAGCACTTGTCAGCCAGTAGCAGAGCTGTAATGCTGCAAGTTGCTGAAAGGAAGCTGTGGAGAAGGAACCCAAATAAGCTTCAGGAGAGGGGAGTTCTCCTAGAGCAGAGTCCCTCTGGCCTTTTAAAGCCATGGAACTGTGAGTTGCTCCCTCCTTCAGGTCAGCCAGCCAAATCTGATATACTGTATTTCTAAATATTCAGCTAGGCATGTCTTTTGTTCAACTGTTTATATAACACTGAGAAAAAAAGTTCCTTGGAATTTTCATTTTAAATGATTGTTCTGTCAAAATTCTCATTAGAATAATTTCAATGCCAAATCCCAGACCAACTGACAGCTTTTCTGCACGTACCTGAATAAACATTTGTCAGTATATTTTCAAACAGTCCACAGTCAAACAGTGCCATTACTGTCTCCTCATACTCTGGGGAAAGAGATAATTTGATGTAATACTACTGAGTAAAGGTTTACAGAGCCCTACATTAGAAATACAACAAAACAATAATTACTTATTTTCCATTATACTGACTGCTTGAGGTTTTAAGAGGTCTTCTTTCTCATATAATCTATATTGAGAAAGAAGGATCAAGTTGTTAATTCTTTCTTTTTAGTTTCATACAGAAAATTATTCCCTTTTTGGTCTGCACCACATAACCAGTGCATTTAAAGAAGAGTAATATACTTAAGTCATGTTTCACTTCAGTGTCCCAGGACTGTGTGATGGCAGAGCTGACTGTACCAACTCCTCCTGACAGGGTCACGTGTGGGACTGAGCTATCCCTGTTTACTGTTAAGCAACATCCAAGAATTACACCTCCATTTCATACCTGAAGTTTCTGCTAAAGCAAAATACAAAGCACTCACAGAGTTCAACTGACCATTGACACACAAGCTGCTCATGAAGGAGGACTTACCAGGTGGGACATTTCACTTTTCCATGCATGTACTGCAGTTACTTTGCATAAAATAACATTCTTTATGCAAAGGTATTACTCCTAACCTTGCAAAACTGGGAGGACAATTGGAGAGGAAGGTTTGAAATTTTCTTTAACTGTGTTGTGGACAAAGCAACATTAGATTGGAATTCTTTAAAAACAAAGTACTTCATACAAGGTGATAAACCCATAAAAACCCCAAACAGACACTAACAGCTGACAGTACAGTTGTAATAAATCACCCAAAGCCTTAAAATGTACATACTTAGGGATTTTCACTCAGAAGAGAGTGCTGATATTAACAGACAGCTGGTCCCTCTGTGAAACTGCAAGAGCAACACAAACATATGACCCAAATAAAACCTGGTTCTCTTCAGGACCTCTCTGTTCTCCAGTTCCTGAGACAAGAGGCTGGACTGAATGTTCCTATGCTTATGTCAACATGTAAAAGGTGGCTTCAAAAATTGAAATCAGAAGGTCTCACTAGAGATGCTGAGTTGGCAGCTCTTACATAATTTTGAGAAAGAAGTTTGTCCCTTACAACTTTCATTTTAAGTGGTCATTCAAAAGGGAAGGTCATTCTCAATGTCCTACACAGCTGCAGAAATAAGGACGGAGTTATTTAGCACCATGGCATCCTCAGGAAGGTGGCCCAGGGCCAAGTGCCTGGGATTCAGATCTGCACCTCTGCCCTGACAGCAGAGTCCCTGCCATGGGTCCGCCCAAAACATACCTGTTTCTGAAGTGTTGTCATTCATCAGTTTTTCCTGAGCCAGGTGAAGTGTGTCCAGCATTTCTTCAAATATGTCATCCAGAAGCCCAGCTTGTTTGCACTTCCTAACAAATTCTATTCGAACTGTTAAAACACAAGAGCATTCTCATACAGAAGCGATCTGTAAAGTGGGCTTTGCTCCCTCTCTTCAGAAACTGAAATTTTGGCCAAAGCCCTTCCACCAGTAACAAATACTTTTGCAGATCTCTAGCTCCTCCAGCCACCCACACAGCCCTTTTCAGTGGGAACAAAGAAGTAGCCAGGCAAACGTAAGCACTGTGCTGGGTGCAAAATTCCCTAAGCTCTAGATTTGGCTTCGTTCATCAGAAGCCAACAGCTCCACGACTTTAAATATGCCATTCCTAAAGCTCATGATACCCCCTAGTGATTTGTCTTACTTGCATTTCCACCAATCCTTAGGACCACACCACGGACAAAGCAGGCTAAAGCACAGAAAACAGTGTAATAAATGATTCAGTATTAGATTTGGTAAAAATTGAGGCTACTTTTACTCCAGGTGATCCAGGCAACTAAAGTTTTTTGTTACAGCCCTTTTTATATAGCTACTCTGTCAGATTTGCATTAATAGATAAATAACTATTTTTTTTTTTAATCCCAGAGCAGCAGGTCAGTGAGAAGCTTTAGTAAGATCAATGCAATGGGCTGTTGAAAAGCTAAGAGCCATTGGATGGCTCACAAAAGTCTGCCAGTCTCTATTAAAAACAATGTTACATTTTACTGGAGACATTTGTGAGGAAAGAAATGCCTTCTCACTGACACGAGATGCTCTATGAGTATTTCAGAATTTTTTATAGGTTTCCTGTTCTTTACAGTGGTACTGAAATTCAGAAAAAAACACAAGGCAGCCACTTGCAATACCATGCCCATATATTAAGCATATCCATAGTGAGGTGAATAATCATCACTAGCACATTCCAAACTTCCAAGTGCCAGCAGAATCCCAACAAGCAACTGCAGCAGGAGCTTCAGGGTAACACGAAAACTGCAGCACTGACGGATAGGTCCTGTGATCCATCTCACTGTTGTAACACCATATGTATACAATAAAACACTGTATTGTGTTAAGCACCCTGTGTACACCTAGGCTTCCAAACGTAAAATGTGCTGTCCCCTCCTCAGAGCACCTCCTCTGTTAAAGCCTGCCAGGGTTCCCATTTTGGATTTAACTGTACTGATACAGAGGAAGGGCATCGGGCAGAGGCACCCCTGTCTGCAGGAGACAGGGCTGAATGCAGCAGCCAGAGTGAATCAGCAGCTCACATCACACAGCCAGTCTCACTCAGCCAAACCACAGGCATTTGTTTGCTGTACAGTTATTAGAACATTCTGCAAATCAGACTTCTGCTGTCATGCCAGAGCACGGAGAGCCACTCGTCTCAGGAGAAGCATAAAGATACATTTGCAGCACAACATTTGCTACCAGCTATCACCAAGCTCTGCACTTCAACAGTACCTCCTAGTTGCTTCAAAAAGTTGTTACCAAATGTCCAATATATCAGAGTAAGGCTCCTTAACACTGAAGTTGTGTCAGAGGCATCCTTTCTTCAGGCCCAAGGTCCTGCAGGGGACACTCCTAACCTTGGACACCTTGATTCTACGGTTAAGACTGTTTGCTTATATACCCTCCCTACATACATATTACAATTTATCCATTATCATAAATCCCACTCCAGGCTCCCAGAGACTTAGTCCTTTGTTCCATCTATCACTGCATTCTTGACCCACATATCTTCTTCTTATCTTCCCTCTGTCCTTGCTGGAGGAGCAGTGTTTGCATGCTGAAATTTTCTCTGCTAAAAATTTCACAGGCACAATAAAAACTGAATTAAACCTTATGGTATCAAAGTGAGTCTCACCTTTATGCCTGTTGTTTTTTCTTTTTAGTATTCGTAAATGGTTTTCTTCTGCTGTGTCTTCTGTACTCTGTAAGAAAATCAAAACAATATATTTTTACATCATGCTGATATTTACTGCTCTTCTCATTATCATACTTCTGTTTTAACAGAAAGATAAAAAGCAGTTCACATTTCTTTAAATACAGACAGCTTCTCTGCATGGCTAACAATATTCCCCCTCCAGACATTCTATTTTGAAAATGGAAGCAAAAACTGCTTCAAAGCAAAATCACTTTAAGAAAAGCCAAACACTTGGGACACCACCTTCCTTAACCATTGCATTTACAAATAGCAGAGAAGTTACCAAAAGCCTACTGGGAACTCCCAAGGTTCTGTCTGAACATTGTTGGAATACTTTTGATAAATAAGTCCTTTGCAGGTGTGCATCCCCTGGTTTAGTACTACGGAAATTCAGAATTACCATATCTTCTGTGACGGTGGGACATGTCAATGAACGTCTTCTTTTCTTATTAGCTGCACCTAGGAATCATAAACAACAAAGTAACAAAAGTGACAACCTCAGACTGACCATCACACATCATTCAAATTCCTTCTTTTCCCAAAAAGCTGCAGAAGTGAGGCATTTTGGGTGGCAAGGCAAGATTATGTTTCAGCTTCCCCAAACACCTGACATTTCAGCAGAATTCACATTGTTTCCATTTAAGAAAATTGCAAGCATGAACCAACCATTAGGAAAAAGTGCAAATTATTATAGCATTAGGGCATCACTTATCCTTTTCAATTCAGCAGATTTTTAATTGTGGCAGAGTGAACTTACTCCTCCTGGTAGCAGCGCTACCTCTAGGTGGCGAAAAACTGGTTTGGTTTCTTTTCCAAACAATTCTTAACTATGTTAATAAACCCTCAAAACTAAGACTACATAAAGAATTATTTAGGTGTCTCAAAGACATACAAATGGCATGATGTTTTTCATCAACATAAGGACCCTCCCAGATAACCTCCAGAAGCCATTTGACTTGTCAGCTTATTATTATTTATGCTACAAAGTGTTTGTAGTGATGTGGTATGAGATCCCTGAAAAATTATCTCTGCTTTCACTGCACCCTTTCCATCAGCATGCACCAGACTCTTGCCAACATCATAACCGGCAGCTTTTGGAAACAGCTATACAATATCACAAGCAGAGGAGTATAACTCTGGCATGGAAGACATGGCAGGAGCAGAGAAAGGCAGAGAAGAGTGCAACCACCCAGCAAAACCTGAATGTTTAAAGTACAGTGGAGTTATACTTCCCCTTCCCTGTTTTGTTCCAGAACCTCTGGGCAGCACTTAGTAAGGCCTTTCTTGTTAGAAATCATCCTGTCAATAGGAATGAGGAGCCACTGTTGTACTGGGAGGCTGTGGAAACAAGTTTGGGGTTTGGGCATTGGTGCTGTACCTTTGCATTTTTCATGGCCTGAAAGGAAATTGGTCTCTCACTTTATCAAAACAAACCTGTAAGGCCTAATTTGGGGCAGTGTGGAGATACTGCTGTAGGTACAACGTGTTCCTTGCTGTCCAGCATGGTATCTTTGACACATGATGGGATTTTTTGAGCTCTCCCTGATACCTGCTGTAAGGATGCCTTATACAAGAGGAACACAGTCTGAAGAGCAGCCCAACTCCTCCTGTCCTGCAATACTGTCTGCTGTCCTGCATTTGTCAGCCTTTACTCTGTCCACATTCAACTTGTCCAGTTAAACAGAGGTTGGACTTTTCCAAGTCCAAGCTGCTCTCCCATCCTTGCTGCACAGAGCTGCAAGGAGAGTTCTTGGCCCATAAGGCACCTTATCCCCTTTCAATCACACAGCAGAGCCCTGACATTCCAGCACCAGAATACTGTAGGAACCAAGAATAAGGGGCTTTTCCTTGACCCTATTTTCTCCAAAGTATGAAGCAAGAGACACTGGGCTTGGGGAAACCAAGTGTCTTCTACTCAACTCCCCCTTGCTCCCCACTTCCCATTGTACAGCTATTCTCAGGAGGTGAGAGAAGCTCATTCAGGAGGCAAAGTAGACACTGCCAGCAGAATCCATTTACCCCTCCTAAACAGAAGGTCTCTAAATTAAGTGCCTTTGGAAGAACTCCTGTAGGAGAAGACTCTCTTCTCAGGGAACATTGTATATGCAGCATTTGAAGACACAAAAACCATCCAGTACCTAAAGGGGGCTACAAGAAAGCCAGAAAATTACTTTGTACCAGAGCATGTAATGACAGGACAAAGGGAGATGGCTTCAGACTGAAAGAGAGCAGGCCTAGGGCAGATATAAAGAAATTCTTTACTGTGAGGGAGGTGATGCTCTAGAACAGTTTGTCCAGAGAAGTTATGGATGCCCTGTCTCTGGAAGTGTTCAAGGCCAGGTGGGATGGGGCTTTGAGAACTGGTCTAGTGGAAGGTGTGCCTGCCCAAGGCAAGGAGGCTGGAACTAAATAATCTTACAAGCTTGAATCATAGAATGATTTGGGTTGGAAGGAGCTTCTAAGACTTAAGCCCTCCTTATGAAGAAGGTGGGTCTAGAGGGCCGGACTAATGCCTGAATATTATCTGGCACTGGAAACAAAACAATCCTGGGCCTGTCCAGTACTTGTGCCCGAGACCACCTGGGATCCCGGGCAGCCCCAACAGACAACCATTAGACCAGAGAAATCAAAATAATTTTGAAAAGGGAAGAAAGGTCATGATTCAAAACTATGGATAAGCCAAAAGCAAAGCTACTAAGTAAACTAAGAAGATGCACTTGGTTAGTGAACCACAGCAATATCAGGTATTAAACTGACTGTATGTTTGGCTAAGAAGCCCCAGCCCTTACAACTAAAAGCTTAAACAACAATAACCTAACCCATCCCTTAAGTGTCATCAGGGTGGAACAAGACTGTCAAGAAGGTTAGCCAAAATTTGCTACACTTCAGTGGGAGCACACCTCTGTCAGCACAAGTGCTTACAGTTCAATTGAGTTCAAATTCAAAGTGAAGGCCAGCCTAGGACCCACTTCACTGTGGGCAGAGTTGTATGCATTAGGCTAACAAGGTCCAGCTTCGGTTGGGATTCCCAAATACCTCTGAACCAGTACTGCCAAATGAAGCTGCATTTCTGTACCACAGGAAGCAATCCTTAAACAGGGGTTGTACAACCCTTTTGTTACACTTAAAAAGCTCTTTGGGATCCTTCCGAATGAAAGGCCCTATTTTAAAAACTACTGCAGTGAATACAGAAGATGCAAATGTGAACGTCAGCATAACCACAGACAAAATCCCAAGGTGACCTCTCCTGTAACAGCCCTCCCCTTGCTAAATTAGTGCAAACTTGTGTGCAGCTCTCCTGTCCCACATGGATTTTACGAGCTGCTTGGGCCTACTTGCCCAAAGAAGAAGTAGAATGATTCCATAAAGGATTGGGTCCATCGTGGTTTAAGTCAGTTTCAAGGAGATCCGGGGAGAATCATATTTTAACTTTTCCCACCTCAAAAAACCTTCTTGATTTTTCTGCATACATGTGGATCTCAACCAGACCACTCCTGCAAGATTAGAAATCCACCATTCAATATGAAGGTGGTAATATTTATTTTGTTCATATAAATTACTGCGTGTAGGATGCAAACTTTTAAAACAAATGAAATCAATGAAGTCATTAAAGAAACTCACCATAGTGATTGGTCCTATTCCCTGGGTCATGTTTTGGGCAGAACACTCTAAAATTTAAGTTCAATTTCAAGAAAAAGAAAATAAGTATTAATAAATATGCAAACAGAGTGACACTGACCAATTTTAACAGATACTTTCATCTCTTTTCACTGAACATAAACTGAAAGACAGTTTAAAAAAATCAGGATTTTTGTTCAGCATTACCCACCTCAGAAACCACCTGCTTTTAAGTCTCGTGCATGCACAACCTTGTATCTGCACTGGTAGAGCCTCAGTGGGCTCTGAGCACTGAGGCTCTGAATGATCAGTCCCACCAGCAGACCCTGTCTGGGCCTGCCCGCTGCTCAGGCCCCGAGTTGGACACATTTCACGTGTGTGGCAGTCACTGTGTCAGAGACACTGAAATGAGATTAACGCTCCCAAGGTAAAACGCCACAGTCCTGACACTGCTCCATCACAGCCACTGCAGCCCTGCCCCACGCAGACCAGGAGCCTTCTCAGACACCTCTGCTCAGCGATCCATTCCTCAGCCCTGCAGGACGCTGGCACCACCACCCACTCGCCTGGAGGTCTCTGTGCCCCTCCCTGCCACTGCCCTGTGCTCACGGAATGGCCCCAAATCCTGAGTAAGTATGGCAACCCTGCAGCAGCAAAAGCTGCTCAGTCCTTTTGTTACTTAAAGACTTCAGTAGTATATGCAATGGGAGTATTTTCAGTGGTTCTAGGAGAGCAATGTGAATTCCTTGGAAAAGGCAAAGTGCAACAAATTTATCTGAAAATATTCCTTATCTTTTGGATACAATAATGTCCAGAGAACATGAACCAGCTTTTACAATATGCCTTTCTTACAGAAGGATCCCAAGTCACTTTTTAAGCACAAATGCCTTGTCGGGAGCATGGCTTAATTTATCTCTTCCTTACAAATCTATTTGCCAAGACTGCTGCAATTTTTAAAGGGAAACTGCATTTAATAGGACATTTTGTAATTATTGTCATTCTTTTAACAAAAACAGAAGCACTGCCCTTAGAAATGCAGACTGTTGCCTTGATGAGGAACTTTTGCATGAAATGTATATTAAAGCACAAAAAATCAGATTTAGGTATGCCTAACAATGCAATCAGAAAGCTATATACTGAAGACACCTTATTTACATCCCTGAATTTATAATACTGCCCTTTGGAGAATGCTTTTTATTCTTCCCCTTCCTTTAGTTCTAGTCTTTTACAGTTAAGAACAACCCATCCTTAGCACAAGACTATCTTATAAACTACAGACTTATATACATACAGTATATATTTTACTATTCAGGCCACTTTATTTGGAAGCACTTCCCTACTATCATTTTTGCAGGACAGCAGTGGAAATTGCACTTATTTCTCCACCTCTACTCTTAACTGTCCACTTCCACAGCACCATATGCTTTCTCTTTTTTTTCTGCTTGATTTGTTTTGATGATCACTACTCATCATCACAACGATGGCAACTTGGAATTTAAAACTACCATCTCTGCCTCTCTCGAAGGAATTCTCTCTTTTCAGTATGTAATATTTCATCTTGAGAATGCGCAGGGGCTGTCAATCCAGGTCAACTCTTTTTCAAGTCTACTCTCCAATAATTTCAGCTAGCTACAATTTTTGTGCTTTATTTATGCCACTGCTACTGTGCAAAAGTATTTAGGTTCAAATTCCTGAAAGCTGTCCTAGTATCTTTCTCTAATCCAGTCTTTTCCCAGCTCTTCAATCCAGGTTGCTATAGCCCAGTTTCCTAGGCTATCACTGTCACACACTGACTTAAAACAAGGCATTTTTAAGGGTGCCTCTTCCAAACCTCCAAGGTCACCAGCTCCAAAATGCCACCAAACCAAACTGTATATGCAAGCATTTCTTTACCAGTTTGTATCTAGACTGCTGTCAGTCCCACTTGTTTTTCAACATCTTTTTGAACCTGAGCCTTTCTTAAGCTATAAGATGAAAGCCATTTATTCTGCGATCACAGAAAGTTTTCATTTTCCCAGTTAAACTCTTCCATGAGCTTTGCAGATTGACAAAGATTTTACAAGCATCAATTAAACATCCCATCCTCCCTGCATAGCTGGGCTTACAGCCTTGCACAGATGCATTCATTTTAGACAGAGAGTGCTGTGAAGCAGCCAGGAGTGCAAGTGTCTTGACACAAAAGGACCCATCTTCCACTGCTGCCAAGGACTGCACAAGACCACCCCCCTTTGTGAAACAAGTAGTGATTAAAATGATCCCCAAATTACTCTAACATGACCTGTGATCTCTCTGGCCTTGCACAGAAATAAGCATCAGGGCTTTTATGAACCTCAGACTTTACTATAACTTTAGCATTTCAAAAGGTGAAGCCACAATTTTTCAACCCCTTCATCTGCATCCTCCAAACAATTTGGTCCATCTGTCAATGGCAATGCAGGCAGCCCAAGGGCAGTGGACACCACCAGGACTAGCATAATCAGGACAGAAAATCTACTTAGAATCCATTCAATTATGTTAATGCTAGCAACATATTTGAAATACAAGGCCTTTGGTGGGAAACAAAGTTCTTTGCTAGCATAGGGAGGGAAAATTACCTGTATTTCTTTAATTTGAGCAGGCCTAGAAGTGATATAACTTGCTCTGTGCTCAGATCACGTTTACTGGAGCTTCTGAACCAACAAAAGATTTAGAATCTGAGTGACATTAATAAAATCTCAGTTCTTGAAGATTAGCTAGAGAGTCAGTAAGGACTGACTTTCTCAGTTTTGGCCTTGTTATCTTTCAGTAATGTAAACAGATTCCCTCCCACGGCGGTGAAGTTTTCCCGTGAAATAAAAAACATTTCTCCCACAGTTTGCAAACAGGCATCACTTCAGGAGAGGCGGATTTATTTCCTTCCCTAAGAGCCCTGTAAGCCCCACGCAAGGAAGACACGGCCGGGGGCGGGCGGTGCCGGTAGGGAGCGCGGTGAGTACCGGTAGATGCCGTTGACCTGGTCGGTCTCCACGGCGGCGTCGTCGCAGAGCGCGCAGAAGTAGTGGTAGCTCCTGCGGCACGCGCGCTCCTCGCAGCCCACCGTGGCCCCCTTCTTCTGGCAGAAGTTGCACATCTACAACAGGAGGGGGTTCACCAGGTAAATGTCACAGGCAGCTACTGCAAATCCTGCCAGACAGGGCAAATGCCATTCTCTGTGGGAAAGTCCAGTGTTCCATTTCAAGTCACCTCTTGTGTAATTCATCATGCAAATTCACTCCTGCAAACTCCTACCCATGTCATTATTTCTACCTTACCTCTATTTCATACCGATAAATTTGTAAAATGAGCCAAAGGGCCGTGTGAGGGCACCGAACAACCTTCCCAAGTAATTTCAATATTAATTGGTGTTAATGTTTGTATTTGTTTTCTAGGCTAACTTCATAATGAAAAGAGTTCCAGCCAGGATGTAGGGGAGGAAGGCAGCTGAAGACAAAGGCAATTTAAGAAAACCCTCACTTAAATTATCTTATTTCTGATAAACTCAGAAGGTGCTCCTGTTTACAATTGTGGAATGCATTCTTTTGATTCAGGCACTGGCTTAGTTCTTTACCAAAGTCTCAGAAAACTTCAACTAAGGACATAAAACCAGAAAAAAACCCACCTGCATTTTAATACAGAATGAACTAAATTTCACCAAACCAAATGTTTACTAATCTTACTAGATTAGAAAGACCAGCTACTTTAATCCTTTTTTTAAAGCACAGAACAGGCCAGACAACCTTCAGTACTATGAGACTGCAGATTCAGAAACATTTCCTTACCAGCCGCTTTCCTCTGCTGAGCTCTTTTACCACTGATTTCACATCAAATCTTATTCCCAGATTTTCTGGGTTTTGATCTTCAGATTCCACAAATCCTGAGGAAAATAACTAAAAACAAAAGAGACAATTTTAAGAAATAAGAATGACTCAGTCACCAGTGCAGAAAAGCGACAAGGAATACATCTTTTCTTCTTACACTTGCCCCTACCTAAGGAGGCTGATTTTTCTCTGTGTTAACAAAAGCTTTCACCTACACTGAACAAGGAGCTGTGCTTAAACATTTCTGCAGAGAAAAGAAGTTTCTCCTTCCACATAAAAGATTTCACATAAAATGAAGGCAAACTAAGAAAAGATAATAAGGTGAGAAAGTTAACTTATTAAAAACATGAACAAAGAAAATCTGAAATTCCATGGTGCCCAGAGTAAGGATGAGAAGATCTTCAGGCAAAAGACCTCCACACCTTAGACATCCTATTATGAGCTCAGCTGTTCAGACTTACAGCTGGATGCAACATTTTCTGTAATAAGATTTCCATACAGCCCAAGGCTGACAACAGCTGACTGCAGGAGAAAAACAGAAACATTGTACATATCCTGGAAGAAACCTATTAAAAATGCACACATGCACACTCAGGCCACTTTAATTCCCATAGAACCGCTGAGCCGTGACAATGAGTGAGGAAGGGGAAGCTCTTGGCAATTATTTCCTAAGCATTATATGAAGCTAATTCCAAACAAAAGGGAGTTACCCTTTCATCAACTAGCAGCCACAGTCTGTGTGCTCAGAAGGTGATAGTTGACTGCAAAAAAACCCAAAAAAGCGCAAACAAGCCTAAGGCAGAGAAATGAGTAAAGTTGTTGGGAGAAGAAAGAAAATTAAAAACAGAGAGAGACAAAGTTTTAACATTGGAGAAACATTAAAGCCATAAAACCTGTTTCAATCAAAACATTGTACCATAAAACAATGCCGTTGTGAAACATTCTGATAAACTAATAACCAGCCAAAAAAGATATCAGAAAATAAAGATTGTGACAATTGTGAGAGTAAGAAGGCTGGGACAGTAACAGCCAGAAAGCTGCTCTAGCAGCAATCTCCTGCACTAAACAGCCCTCAGCTATATTCTCTCTCTGCTGAAGGGAGAATACAGAAGCTGTAATTGATTCTGCACACCAAGAACCAGCTCCACCAACATTACAGAATAAAGGAGAGGCAAGAAGAGTAGAAGGATTGCAACACACTTAGAGCTTCACAGATATTTTTATATAAAAAACTTCTGATATTTTTATTTCTTATTTTAAATAAGGCACAGACTGGAAAGCTTTTTAACCATCAAGTGATAGGGATATTTTCCTGCAAAGGTTTAAGTATAAAACTTTCTGTGGTCTGAGAATCCTCATCCAAGAGGATGAGTCTCAATAGTGTCTCAAGAAGAAGCATTCCTGTTGCTAGATTGTATGTGATCTTTGTGGCGTTTTCACGTGTGTCCGGGACCACTGATCAGGAACAGGCACACATGAAAACACCACAGATCAACAGCTCCAGTGTGCAGACACATGCTCTCCTGCTCCAAAATCTTGGCCAAGCCGTGCTGCTTTTCACCCTAATATAAACTTGCTGGTTTGAATAACCAGCCTTTCAATCCAGACATCATCGCAAAATCAAAAACAGATAAGCAGTGGAAACTTCCCTCTTATCCCTTCTCCACTTCTCCTCGGTACTGACCAGCTAAAGGCACTCACCAGACAATCCTGATGAGCTGCAATATCTTTATCTGTGGCAATATACATCACAGAGCCAGCCTCCCCTTCTGCACAAAATGCACATGTTCTTCTCACCATCTTCGCCATTATCCAGGAAGCACTGAAAGCAGGAAAACTGGGACAAAATACAAAGCAATTGACAACTTCCATAAGACAAGCAGGACAGAGGAAAGCAGACCTTGCCTTCTAACTGCTCCTTCACCTACATCCCCTGGCCCTTGGTCCTTTGCTCCTCCAGTAACAGCTACCAGTAAACCAAACAAAGCCTGCACTTGGCACAGCAGTGGGATGGAAACCAGATCCCAGGACCTCCAGCAATTAGAGCAGGAGAAAGAGTGGTTTATCTCCTCTTGGAAAGTCACTAACAAGTCATAAGGGGTAATAAAAGAGTTTTCAAGCTTGCTTGGCAATATCTGCTCCAAAAAACAGATTAAAGAGACTCCCGGCAAGTCATGCCCTAAGGTGTGAAACTCCTTTTATTTGGAGGAGGGCAATCACTCAGTGTTTTCTTACCCTACTGCTGCCACATGTGGTCTGAGAGTCAACAAAGGACAGAAAAACAGCTGCCTCCAAGCTTCGCCAGTGCCTTGCAGGAGTTCACAGAAAACAAGGAAGAAACACTAATTTCTTACTGTAAGGATGTAGCAAAGTAGTGTGGAGAAGTTTGCAAGTAAATTGGGGCACAAGAAGAATTCATATATGCGAGATTCTAATATTCTCTCTCAACAAAGTGAAACGCTAGCAGGAGTGACAGTTTTCCCTGAGCCCTAGGAATTACCACACAGTCTTCTTCACATAGTCTTTCTCCAGCAGGTGCAAAATTCTGAGGCCAGCTACTCACTTCACAAAAGCACTCTAAGTGTTTCTGGACAAGCCTTTGCACACATCCCCCACCAGCAGGTTAGAGCATCACCCCACAACATTTGTAGCAGAAATTTTACTTTGTGTTTTTTGTGCAAGTCCACCACAGAAATCTTCAGCAACTTCCTGCTCCTACAAGGTGTGATACTCCAAGCTATCCTCTGCTGGAGACGTCACCTCTGACAGCACAAACTCCTGTATGACAAGGCGGAAGAAAAATCTTTGTTTACTTTCAAGAAATAGGCAGCTCTGAAGTTAAATTATTCTAGTGAGAGGTAGTAAGGCTCAAGTACAAAATAGGCAAGAAATCTCATAATCCAACAAATCCTGCAACTTTTTTCTGGGTTTCAAAATACAAACTGTTTTTCGTTAGTTTCCATCTCCCTTGCATAAAACAGACTGGGTAGCCCCAAGTGAAAAGACCACCAGAGTAGAAGAGGATTTTTAAAATGTTTTCTCCCCTCTGGCTCACACTACTGACAATTTACTTGTGATCACAAGTCACTTTGCACACAGCTGGAGTTTTTTTTCCCCTCTGTCCTATGTCTTGTAAGCAAGGCAGAGTAGAAACCGATTTCCAATACCCATCTATACACTGACCATCATATCAGTTCCAGAACCTGGGCAATAAATAAGTACCACAGAAACAAATGGAAACACAAAAACATATTAGAACTGGAACAGAAAAGAAAGAAATTCAAAAGAAAAACGAGATAGTTTGAAAGAATACAGGAAAAGCTCTCTGCAGCAAACCAATACCTGGCATTGATGCAGACACATAGGCCCTGCTCAGGCCCAGTCAGAGGATCCAGCTCTAGGAATTTTTTAAGGACGGGGCTAAAGGTGGAGTCTATAATCCTTGGTGTTCTCACAGGCTCTGGAGAAATCCTGGTGCTGATGGAGAACAGAAGACACTTGGTCAAGGTCAGCCTTGGGGTTACTCTAGCACCTTTTTAGGAAACCTGAAGCAGTGGAAGTACAGCCCTAGGCCATTCCTCTGTGCAGAATCAGCCAGCCTGCACCTACTGCCCTGTTTAGCCCCATATGCTGTCCCCCTGTGGTGGGTTGGCCCTGGATGACAGACACTCCCCCAAGCCAGTCTATCACTTCCCTCCACAACTTGATGAGGAGAAAAAATATGACAAAGGGTTCACAGCTTAAGGGCAGGGAGATATTCCTCACCAAATACCATCACAGGCAAAGCAGACTCAGCTTGGGGATAATTAACTGAATTTATCACTAACAAAATCAGAGTGGGATGAGAAGTAAAATAAATTTTAAAACCACCTTGCCCTCACCTCTCCCTTCCTTCCAAACTCTACCTTCTTTCCCCAAGAGGCACAGGGTGATGGGGAATGGGGGTTATGGTCACTCATCACTCATTGTTCTTGTCACACTCAAGTAGAGTCCTTCCCCTGCTCCAGTGTGGGGTCCCTCCCAGTGGAGACAGTCCTCCACAAACTTCTCTGTGAGTCCATCCCATGAAAAACAGTTCTCCATTAACTGCTCCAACACAGGTAACTCTCCCACGGGGTGCAGTCCTTCAGGTACATCCTGCTCCAGTGTGGATTCCCCCCAAGGGTCACAAGTCCTACCAGGAAATCTGCTCCAGCGTGGGCTCCTCTCTCCATGGGTCTGCAGGTCCCTGCCAGGACCCTGCCCCAGCATGGGCCTCCCACGGGGTCAGAGCCCCCTCTCAGGCATCCACCTCCTCCACAGGCTGCAGATGGATCTCTGCATCCCCACGGACCTCCATGGCTGCAGGGGCACAGCTGCCTCACCATGGTCTGCACCGGGGGCTGCAGGGGAATCCCAGCTCTGGCACCTGGAGCACCTCCTCTCCCTCCTTCCCCACTGACCTCGGTGTCTGCAGAATTGCTCCTCTCACATATTCCCACTCCACTCCTCTCTCTGCACAATTATATCTGCCCAATAACTTTTTTTTTCCTTCTTAAATGTGTTACCACAGAGGTGTTACTATCATTCCTGCTGGGCTCAGCCTTGGCCAGCAGAGGGTCAGTCCTGGAGCTGGCTGGCATTGGCTCTGCTGGGCATGGGGGAAGCTTCTGGCAGCCTCTCACTGAAGCCACCCCTGTAGCTCCTCCAGCACCCAAACCTGGCCACACAAACCCAACACACCCCCACCGGAGCCTGTGCTCTTCCAGGAGGAGGATATGGAGTTAAACGGGGAAATGGAGCTGGCTGGCCGCTCCTATGCAAGAAGGGGGAGGCTAAGGGTAGGTGTCCAGTTTCACAATTTAATTACATTTCACCTGAACGATGCCTTGCTTTTGCAGGGCTTAAGCCTGCAAAAACTCAGGGATTCCAGTTGACACCCTTGGATCTGTCTGAAAAGGCAAGCAATCCTTGCCCTTTGCTCCATTCTTTCAGTTGCACTCATGACAGCATTGCTCTGTTACTATTTCTCCTGCTGTATCTTTTTCAAGTCGAGGAATCTGAAACTATTTAGCTCTTCTTTGTACAGAAGCTGGTCTGCAGTTTTTTCCTCCCTGTCACTTCTCTACTCCGACTACATTCAAAGAGGACCAAACCACCCCCAAAAGGATGAGCTACCATTTACACTACAAAGCCACAACATCACTCTTTATTTTCCTTCTTTCCTTATTAATTCTCACTATTCCAATCACATTTTAGCCTACTTCTGAGAGTAGAGGTGACACTTTCAGAGACCTACTGCTAGAAGCACAAAACAGTGAAAAAACCACAAAACCCAACAAGCAATGGGGCCCACGGTGATCAGAGCATACAAAACTGGGTGGAGGGCTGGTGGTTTGTGCTGCCACGAGTCCGGGGAGGAACGTGAGGCAGCGTGGGAGCCATGTGGACTTGTTCTTTCCCTTGTTTACAGGAAATGTTTTGCACCAATTGCACCTCCAGGCTATTCTGCACAATGCAACCACAAACAACGGAAGGTACAGAAATTCCCCGATTTGTGCCTAACTGGAGGGTGAGAATCCAACACAGAAATCACAGGGACAGATCCATGGGCTTGTCTTCCTGGGCCCCCCAGAAGGGACGCCTTTCAGTGAGAGTCACATACTTGTCACAGAATCAATTAGGCTGGGAAAGACCTCTGAGATCATCAAGTCTAAACAACGACCCAAAATCCTGTCAACTGGAACAGCATTACACAGTATTACAGTTCCCCAGATCTTTCTTAAGCAGCATCAGATTAAGTAGGGAGTGCATCAGCCTTATGGCTATTTCTCTGCCACATCCAACATCTTCTACTTATCAATGCTGGATTTTCACCTGCTGTTTTACAGTTAATCCCCTGCTGTCCCAAAGTCCTTCTGCAACCTTTTGCTTCCACTGTCACCACCACAGGGAACCCAGGGGCCTAATTCAGCTGCAAGATTTGGGGGCCCTTCTGCAGCCCTCCGCTCATGACAGAACAAATGACGCTGCAGAACAGAAGGCAGAGCAGCAGCTGAGAGAACAGTCACACTTGGCCACTCCTCCTGTATCTCTGCCATTTCCTAGATGCAGGGCTGTTGGTTTCGATTCTTCATTTTTTCACAACAGTGACTTAAGGGAAGAAGGCGGGAAAGGAAACAGGTAGTAAAAGGGAGAGCAGTGCTGGCAAGAGCTCAGGGCTTGCACCGCTTTCAAATTCAGCAATCCTGCTGAAACATTACCAGTTTGTCTAAGTATTTGCTCTCCAGACCCAGTTCTGAAAGCATCTTTGTATGCAAATATCCATCTTCTACACAGAAGGAGGCTAAGGCACAGAATCTCTTAGTATATCCATAGGGGAGTAAGGAAAAGAACCCAAGTCCCCTCACCTCCAGCACGCTATTGAAACCCACTGCCTCAGCTCCTGCTCTGCTCTCCTCTTCCTTCCAGTGCAGTGCAGGATTGGATCTATGGAAGTAGGAAGAAAGAAAGAAATCACACACCCGTTACCCCACACTCACTGTGTCCCCATTTGTGCTTTGCGAGGAAGGAAGCACGGCTGGAGATGCCTAGATAGCTAAACACGGCCGACATTTACCTCCCCATTCTCCCCACACCTTTCCAGAACAAACACACCCAGATTTCGCAAGGAACAAGAATGAACAAAGCTGTCCTGATCACCCTTGACTTGCGAGCATCTCGTTCCAAGCCCCAGGCATGCAGGACACCTTTGGCTACACTGGCTGCCTAGAGCTCCATCCAACTCGGCTTTGAACACTGCCAGAGATCAGATATGCACAGTCCTTCTGGGGAGCCCGTGCCGGCGCCTCACCACTCTCACTTAGGAAGAAGTAAAGAATTTTTCCTGAAGGCTCCTCACGGCCCCCCCGCCCCTCCGCTCGGCCCGAGCCCCGGCAGGGTCCACTCCCCGACACTGCGGGGAGAGCGGGGCTCCGCGCTCCCCCCCACCGCCTGCCCGCGGTGGCACTTACCGCCCGCTCGCGGCGCGCCGCTGCCCGGCCCGCGCGAGCCGCCACTCACAGCAACCCCTCCCCCGCCCTCAACTCTCCCGCGCGGAAGTGAGCGTGCCCGGCCGGGGCACCGAGCGTGCGCAGTGGCGCCCGCCGGTGCTCCGCCCCGCGCACTCGCGCGGCGCTGATTGGCTGCGGCCCTCGCGTGGCTGGCGGGAAGGCGCGCCGCTGCGGCTCCCGTCACGTGATAAGGGAGGGGCGGCCGGGCCACCCTCGCGCGTTGGGGCGTGCCGGGGTCACGAACCGGGCACCGGGTTCGATACCCGTGACAGGCATCGCCGTCGGGCAGCTATTTCCAAAGGGCTTCCACCACGGGAAAGGCAGTGTCCTGCTTCCTAGCCCCGTGTTCACTTTTCATGGAATTATAGAACTACTGTCCAACCTAACCCTCCCCGGGTGGAGCTTCCTGTTACTCGTTGCCACGGAAAAGGTACCAACCCCGCCCTGGCTACGCCTTCGTTTCAGGGTAGTCACCCGCGAGCCTCCTTTTCTCCAAACTAAACACCCTCAGCAGCTCCGCACAGGAGTTGTGCTCCTGACCTTTACCGGGCCCTGATGCTCTTCTCTGGGCATGCTCCAGCACCTCCACGTCCTTCCTGATTTTAGGGACCCAAAAACTCAACATGGGATTTGAGGTATGACCTCACCAGGGTCAAGAAGAGGAATACAGTCACGGCCCGATCCTGCTGGCCACACTATTGCTAATACAAGTGTTACAATCTGCTATGTAACAGTTTGCTTTTGCTATTATGTATTTGCTTTTGCAAATTATTACAAAATTAACCACTTCTGTAGATATAGTACAAATTGTAATTGCTTTTGTGGTCACTGTAACTGAAATTGTGTGTGAAGCAAAGCTACACGATTACAAGATGTAAGCGTGCTTGAAAAAGATGTATCACAAGATATAACTGTTCTTGCAAAATGTATAATCAAGATAGCACAGGCAGAGGACAAAAGACCATAAAAGGAGAATACTGTGAGAAACGAACCCCACTTTTCAAAATTTTTAAAAGTTTAAAATAAGGCATAAAAGGGACAAATCAATAACAGCACTGGGTGCTTGGCTACAGCCAGAGGCACCCCAGCTAACCATAGCAACTCTTCTTATATACTTTTTCTATTGGATTTGTCAAATGCACATTCATAAAGATTATACTTACTCAAATATTTCTTCGAACTTGTTTACATGTTCCAGAAACTCTTAAGCTTGGTTCGACCCCTGACACACCTTTTTAGAGTATGTGTGGTAATCATGGACGTGGTTTTGAGGGTCGTGTGCCACTTCCTCACAATGGCTCCCTGTTCCATGGTTTCAGCAGGCGACACTCACTGATAATCGAAGGGTCAGTAGCAGGGGTCCTCATCACATCCATTCCTTAAATGTTATCTGACCTTGCAGACGGTTTTAGCTATTTCCATTATTGTAAGTTTTCCACAAGTTCTTTAAATCAACATCGGCTATTTCACAAATATATGAGTTTTCATTATTGTCAGTTACAAAAATAAACACATTATTATTATGTGTTATTATTTCACAACTACAGCTAGTTCTACAAAAGTTAACATTATAATGCACAACACATAGCATCCACTTTAATATTTGCAAAAGCCAGAACTATAATATGTGTTTATCACACTGTCCACAAACTAAAATATCATCCATAAATGATGTTCTGAGGATATGAGCTACACAGGGGCCAGGGCATTGTCCACAAAAAGCTAACAAATTATACCATATCAAAAGCAGATAGAAGTGATTACAAACTGTACTGTATCAAAATAATTGTGATTAATAATAATTTGCAAAAGCCAATACATAATAGCAAAACCAACAACTATATAGTTATTTATAACAATACCAAGTCCAAAGTGGCATCAGAAGACCAGCCTGGACTGCCTCCCTGATGGACCTACAGACTGTAGCTGTGGATTTATGCAGTGATGTAGCAACCTGAGGCAGAGCCGTGGTAAACAGGCTCTAAGAAATGTGCAAAGTTTTTTTGGGAAATAATGCAACTGCAACAGTATAAAGGACTGTTTGCTGAAGAACTGGGTGTGCTTTTGGCTGTCGCCATGAACCCAGTGCTGTTACTTTTGCTTTATTGATTGGTCCCTTATTACTCCTGATTAAACTTAAAATTTGGAGGAGTGAGCTTTGTTTCTCACACAGGCCAGGATGCCATTGGCCTTCTTGGCCACCTGGGCACACTCTGGCTCATGTTCAGCTGCTGTGGACCAGCGCCTCCAGGTTCTTTTCTGCCGGCCAGAACTTTCCAGACACTCTGCCCCCAGCCTGTGGCACTGTTGTGACCCAAGTTGTTGTGACCCAAGTGCAGGACCTGGCACTTGGTCTCATTGAACCTCCCCCAGTGAGCTCACCAGCCACATTAACAGGCATATTCTGGCTCATCAGGAGGCCACACCAAACATAACACAGAGCTTTTAAGATCAGTTCCCTTTACCAGCTAGATCAGCTTTAGCTTTTCAGCACTGCTGGCATAATTCCAGCTGGCTTTCCAAGTCCCTTTGCACCTGCCCAGATGCAGCATATCAGAGCTAAGATCAATCCCTTGTCCAGGCCTGGAATTAGATTATATCTATTAGCCAAATACTGCTAAACAATTCCAATTCCCAGATCTATTATCTAGATGATACTCAAATGAGTCAACATGATTCAAGCACCCACAGATGCATAAATCTTAAACTAGTAAAATCTTCCTAACAGAAGTCTGTTCAACACAGGAAAAAATTCTCTGTGGAGGAAAATCAGGTACAAAACCCTTGTAAGGTCTTCCTCCAAACGGTTGCGCTATCAAGACATATAATTCTGTGAAATACAAAGAGCTGGAAATTAATGCTCAGTGATTTTCTGGCAAAAAATAAAAACATCAGTTAATATGCTCCAGTCCAGTTTCTTTTATACTTATGCCGTAAGTGATCTTCAGCTGCCTTTGCATTTATATGCTTACCTTGGGCACTAATATTTATTTCCATGGAGCCCATACACATCCTCACATCCCTACTGACCCTCCATAGGGACAATCTTGCTCACTGTAAGAGCTGCGATTCACATCTCAATGCAACTAATTCCCACTAGGCACTCTTCATTTATGATGTCCCCAACAGGCTGATGAGAAGTCCCAAATGTGTAATTTCACAGGTGCTTTTGAGTACTTCATTTGGAATATCTTCACCTGTTTTTCCATCAGTGCTTGTGCTCGGTGCTACACACTGCTCTGCTAAAGCATGGGAGACATGAGGGACTGTGCTCAGAATATCCCCATCTGTGATCTGTCACAAGCAGAGGAACAGTCAGCAGAGCAGAGAGAGAGCTCAGGTGAGCACTCCTGTGGTCATTATCTGCAGAGGATACCTGCAGGACACCTGTTCTAATAATACTACAGAAACAGGCAGAAATCACACCTTGTAAGGTGATTTTGTTCATGGATAGGTTATGGTCTCTGGTCTGGAGGAGGAAAAGGAAGAAGCACCAGCCTGGAGACAGACCTGATAAACCCATCTAGCCAAAAAGCCCTGTCTCATACACATGCCTTCTGTGACATCTACACTCTCAGCAGGCTCTCACATAGTTGCAGACCACATGGAGCAAGTAAGTGCTGCCTCTTTTGAAACATCAGGTCTGTTTTCCTGCATTAAGAAACACGGCTTTTCCTCACCAGCCCAGTATCATTAATTCCTACCACTGATCTGGAGTATATAGTCAACAGCAGTAAAATGTACCTTCTTTTCCCCCCTCCTGATGCTTTAACAATATTCCCATCTTCTTTTCCACATACAAGTCAAGCAGAGACACAGGTGTTTTCTGCATTTTCTTTTGTTTAAAAGGCTAGTACCATTCCTGGGTTACCTGTGGGTTTGTCATACACTTTGGCATGTCTTTAGTTAACATTGAAAGATATTCCCGCAAGGCATATTGCCTCTACGTAGAGACAGATCTTCAATGAAGCAAAAAGCAACTGGGCTTAGTGCTGTCTTCAGCTAAGCCAGGGGCTGCAGTGACAGGGGGACTGATCAGGGCAAGAGTGGGTGGCTCTGACCTTCTGGAGAGGTACTGCTCCAACACTGGGGTAACCCCACTCATCTGTATTTATCCCTGAAGATGGGTGGTGAAAACCTACACAAACCCAGAGTGTGATGAGTGGGAGAGGTTTGCTTGATGGATGTGTCAAACTCTCAAACAGAGCTGTGGGAGAGAAGATCTGAGGTTTCACTGTAAGCAGAATGGTTCACAGGTCTGTTACCTTTTTAAAGGTCCACTTTTAACCTGCTGAAACTTCTCATGCATGCTGAAACCTGAAAAATTCAAGTGCATCCTGTGTTGCAATACAACCCCATGATTTTTAAGCTTGAAGTATCCAAAACAAACAAAGAAATACCCACTTAGGGCTACAGATAAAATGTTTGCCCACAGTTACACAGCACAGATACAACCCAATTAAAATAGAATCCTAAACCATGTGTGCATAAGAGATCCATTGCCTCTTGTCCTCAGGGCTGAGAACTGGTTCCTGCTTCTCCTTCATTTTGTAATATAGGCTTGGACATAACCAGGCCAAGACCTTAATTTGTTCCAACCATTTCTCTGAAAATTCCCACAGGAGCAGGGTGACATGGTGAGCACTGAGGCATATGGACATGGAATCTGGAATACCAGCTATGCAATTAACACATGAATAGTGGGTAGTTCTTCCAAGACCCATTTAACAAGGAACAAAGAAAGGTGCAGGTACAAGACTCTCATGTTTACCTTCTCCAACAAAGGTAATTTGACTTCAAGCCAACCACTTTATTCCATAAATGACAGCCTGAGTGAGCCTTTTTTTTTAGCTCTCATGCTAATCAGCTGGCTGGATGGCAGTGATCTCCCTGTGAGCTGGGATGCTCTCGATGTTACTCCTCTAGGCTGAGACCCCTGATCAGCTGCAGGTCTTTGGTAAGCAACCAGTGTCACACACAGCCTTGTACTATGGTGCCACTAGATTTTGTATTGGTAACTTTAAATCATTATCATATCCTCTGCAGTAACAGAGTAAATTCTGCTGTCAAACTATGTTAAGTCTTACTTTTACAACATTTTTAATAAAACCACTTTATTTGAAGCCTTTGGAAGTGGTTCTTCCAAAGCATCTAAATTGCTCATCTGCGACACCTCCTTGCTTGCCCAAGGCTCCAACACATTCAAAAGCCACACACCTGCACACTCATCCCTTGTTCCATTTCAGAGCCACCTCCTGCATCTGCACTCTGTGTCTCCTAAAGTAGCTTGTTTCTCTCTTACCAACAAACCATGTGGTAAGGAATTCTGTGGCCCACCTGTCTCATACACAATATGGCACTAAGTGGAGAGGAGTGCAGTCCAAAAAAACCCAGTCATTTCCCTCCTGCTGCAGCAGGACTTGTCCAGCTCATTTTGTAGCACAAACACAGCTCTGCAGAACTGTTCTGTTTAATTCTGTCTCTGTTCAGGACTATCTGTCCCACCAGATCCAACAGGCTTAGGTGTATTTTAACAATTCCTAGTGCCCAAGATAGGCAGTCTTGCATTCATGAGTTTCAGAAACCTGAGTTTTGCTAACTCAGCACTGTGGAGGGGCACAGAAAGCACCAAGGAACTGTTGCTCTCATCAGTCAAGTCTCTGCTGCAGATGGCATGGAGCAGAAATTCTTCCAGTGCACTATGACCTTTGCTTGTGGACTAGAAGCAGAGAGGAGGAAGACCAGGAGAACAGAAATGACCTAGGAAAGGTTTGATGCCTGTTGTCAGGACAAACAGTTCTAACTCTGTAAACTACAAAAGTGACATTTAAATGTGACTTTAAAAAATCGTCAGGTGAAAGGCATTTCAGTTGAATGCAATTAGCACCATGGACTTGAGGGCTGTTCGCTGAGTAGTCATCCCTTCCAGCATATAAATCCCTAGGTACAAGATGTGTTGACAGTAGGAAAGCTTTGCCTATAAGGTTTTTTTCCTGCACTTCTGAACTCCACATTGACAGGAAATTTCTGTCTCTGGCATGCTTCCAGCTTCATAACCATAATCCCACGTGAGTTCGGTTCCAGCTTTCACAAGTCTAAGAAATAAAACACTCAGTCAATTTGCTTGAACCAAGTGAAACAGTACTGTGCTAACAATTTGTGACCAACAACACACATGCAAACCCAAAAATTGTAGGGGGCAGGGAGCATCACACAAGGCAGCTTGTTGGGAGAGAAACAAGAGATACAAGGAGTTGCTGGCGCACTCGTGCTGCTTTGCTTATGGAAACTGCTGTGGAGATTGCAAATAGGGTTGGAGTCTAAACAATGAGCTCTAACTCAGAAGGAAATTCTGCGAAACAAAAATCAAACAAACAAAAAAAACCCCACCAAAACCAAAGCCAACCAAACAAACAAACAAAAAAAATAAAACAAAAAACGCCAAAACAAAAACAAAAAACCAAAACAAAACCCCAAAATAAAAAAGAAGAAAGGAAAACCATGTAAGTGACACATCTAAATGAATAAGATAGTCTTGTTATTTTTCCTATGTACATCGCTGAAGTTTGAATAGATCTCCAGATATGTTGTTGAAGCCTGTCATCTTTGGTCTGACAAGCTACCTTTTAGTGCAATTGTACTATGTGCACAAAGCCCAAAACTCAGAATTAAACACATGCTCCTCATAAGCCAGCTGCTCTGGTAGTACAATAGAAGAAACGTCTAAGGTAAGAAGTTCATGGTCTAAAATGAATGCAAAACTAAATACCTGAGACTATGATGCTGAGGGACAACTGATGGAAAATATAATAAAATAGGAATATTGTGATGAAGAGAGTAATTCTCTGATGTTTCTCATTGGATATGGTATAGGGGACATCCAGTGAATTCCCAAGCAGCTGACTGACAACAAACAATGAAGACTTTTCACACAGCACATAATTGCAGCCTAGGGGTTGCTGATTTGAGATGGTCTAGAGGCCAGACATGTAAAACAAAAAGGTGACTAGGCAAGTTCATGGAAGGCACACAATTAAGCTCAATGATCCAGATGAAGTCCTTAATTTAGAAAAGTTGTAAAAGGGAGATGCCTAGAAAATGGAAGAGCCAGTGAGGGAAACTCTCCTTCAACAATCTTCTTCCCTAAGTGTCTTTGCTGGTCACTATTATCTCTCTCCAGTGGCCTCAGTCCCCACTACACTTCATTACCGAGTACCTGAGCAAGAAAGACTCTAGCTAAAACAAAATATTTTTTTGGACATATTTCAAAACATTATCTTCACAGTTCTTGGAGACCTCCCAGTGCAATCCACAGCATCTGTGTCAGTATGGAGTAGAGTTGCAAGGCTCCACAGAAGATCAGTGTTCCCTGGAACTGGTTTGTCTGCACAAAGTCTCTCCTTTCTGTTCTGTTCTCACCTAATACTACTGCTGGCATGCAAGTCAGCTAACTTCATTCATACAATTCATCTTTTCCTCTCCTGGGTTGAGTTGCTGCCATATTGTGTCTTGCTGGCACCAGCTCTCTGTAGCTCTCTTTCTGTTAGACACTAAGGAAATATCTACATCTTTTACTTTCAGAATAAATCTTCACCTCTGAGTATCCTATTGTCACATCCCCAGGACGTGCTGGGCTACACCAAGTCTTGCTTATCCTGATAGCTGTGAGGAAAAGGACTGAAGCCAGCTTGCTTGGCCCACAAAGTGTCTCCACTTTAATATCCTGTGGAGTTCAATCCTGCCTATGGAATGCAGATCTGGTGGCCATTCCCTGAGACACAACAGTGGGATGAGTGAATCTTGGCTTTCTGAATGACCACACTGAGTTAAACCTGTTTCTCCACTGAAGAAGATTATCACTGAAGTGGACACATCAAAATTAACCTTCTCTACTTTACATTTTAGGGCAAAACTGAAGTAAAACTCATTAGTGATAACCAATGAGCTGTATTTCTTCTGTCTTTAGTGCAAAATAAGAAGTCATCTATAAGAAGGTACTTTTGTGCTTTTATAATCTAAGCATCTGCTCCACCCCTCAGTGTAATTATGCCCTAATAACTAAGCACTGTTTTTTTCCTCCTAGTGCCTTGAATGAACAACATTAAACTTCCAGAAATTCACCTGTTCGTGAAGAATGCCACCCATGGAAAACTTCTGTTGTGAGTTTCTACAAACACACTTTGTGCAAAGAGATTTGGGCAGCAGCTGTGCTGTAAAACAGAAAATCTGAATTAGAAACAGTCCAACACCATATCGTTGCCTGGACAAACTATTTCGTGTCAGATATCTGTCACTAGTAAAGGTACTTTCTTCCTTCCCTTCACAGAAAGTTTATCACCCAATGCCATTGCCAGGGCAGCAGTGCTAGGGAGCAAGCAATGGATTATATGACTATGTGTTGGCCAAGCACAGGATGTGAAAAGTCACTCAGGTAGGTGCATGTAGGAACATGTGTATATGCTCATGGGAGCAGAAGGAAGGTTTCTGCAAGATGTACTACTAATATTAACATCATATTACCTCTGCAAGGAAGAACATATGCATATGTTCTTATATTAAATATATGCAAGGGCTTTGCTGTAAGACATATGCATGCCAATGAAGATAAATAAATTATTTGCAGAGTACCTGCAGATGTGTCTGTGAGCCATTTGTCTTAGCTGGAGATACTTAGAAATTGATTGCTATTTATTTCTTGGCAAGTCAAAATTGAGAGACTTAGTTAGCAAACATGTACACAGTATGACACACCACTTTCTGAACCTATGACTGAACAGTAGGGAAGTTTTGTAAGATAACACAACACATGTCCTAAACCAGCACAAACTAGAATTTACAATAGCTGGGGAATAAAGTAAACAAAGCTGGGAGAAGCTATGTGGCTCAACAAAATGTGCTATTTGCTCTCTGAACCTCTAAAAAAGGCCATCATAAAAAAGATACCATTCATTACTGGGGAATATGTCTCTCAGGAATTCAATGGTGCCAAAAACTGCAGCTGGTGCATAGCATTATCAGTGTATGGAGGCACAAATTGCTGCCTACTGCCCTGTCACCTGTGATGGCAGGGAGCACCACGTGTGCCTCTCTTGCCATGCACCTACCACCCATACTATTTATGTGCAAAAACTTTCTAGTTTAAGCTTTTATAAGTAAATTATGTATTTGCAGAGACGACGAAGAGAACCCATGCAACTTAGTACTTACATTTAGAAAACGACCCACATTTCCTTCTTTTGTGGCATCCAGTATATAAATATTTTCTTCATTAGCATTCTTGGGAAGCATCCCATCGTCATCAGACTCCTCACAAAGTGCATCTTGTTTTGGCTGCCTGCTATTTTCTTTGCAGTCACCTTTCAGGGGTGCATTGTTGGATGGCCTCACAACACATGTGTCATCCAGAACACTGGATGTGCCACAATCAACACCCTGCAGTGACAGACTCTTTCTTTTGCATCCTGCACTCTCTACACCAGCAGAGTCAGTCTGTCCAGTTTCCATCAGATGTTCTCCCTTCTGCTGCTGGGTGGATTCTGTCAATGAACACGTATGTTATTTCTCAACACCAGTTTAAGGCCAAAGCCTTTCCCTTGTTTGGCCTTGAACTCTTAGCCACCCACTTTTCCCCCATCCTCCAAAATCTAAGCAGCTTCCTTGCTATCTGCAAGCCTATAACACAACTTTTCTATGTCTCTGATCAATCATCCCACAAATGACTGTTTGATGCCTAAAGCACTTGCTCAAGGTGCCTCTGAGTGACCAAATCCCATTCCAGACTGATTTCTCCCACATAGCATTTTTTGTCATTCTCCACCTTAATTCCCAAGAGAATCACAAACTGTAATTAAGACAGAATCAATTTGCATGTGCAAATAGCATCAGTTCCACACTGCCTCTCCAGTTTGAGGTCTCCCCACCCCAGTATTAAATCCTGTTCAATCTTTGTTGGCTGGAGCAGGTACTGCGTGTGACACAGCAACATCTACAAGATTGACTTTCTCACAACTGCACAGTATTTGAGAAGCTGCTGTCTGGACAGTTCAACATGTCTCAATATCCACGGACAACACTGTTCTACTCTAAGAGCTGGCCTTCCCACACTGTCTGCATTAAAGTGTATCACCTGATGGGACACAACATGCATGTAGGTACAACGCATGCAGTATGTAGAGCTCTGCAAACCTACTTTCTTTTCCTTTCTTTGTTCCTCTGGTTAGTTTTGTTTTGCTTGACTGATGAATCTGAGAACTATCATCTTCATCTGAGCTGGCACTGTGCACCTGTGTATCAAATGAAAAGACTGTGATGTGTTGTTGCTGCATGCAATTCTGGGCCAAGAGGGCACAGCAAGTGGCTTTTAGAACTTTAAGGCTGAAGTTTCAAAGCTACTGTAATGCATAACTGTGGCTGAATTTGAAAAGTTAATACATTTACTGCAATGCAACATTTATCTTAATTTCAAATGACCCTTCATAATAACCAGGAAAGTGGCCCCCAGTCAAGAAGACATGTAAGTAAGTGCTTAAGTCCCAACATTTTCACCAGAATTGTAAGTTGCTGAGCCAAATCCCAGACATGCTTTTTACACAGTTTCAATGAAATGACCAGATGTGGCAGAATTTCTCCTCTCCCATCACAAAAAGGCAATAGTTACAAGACCTCTCGAATGGACAGCACTGCAAAATGTTTGCATGAAAATTCCATGTGCATTTCTTAAGATCAATGAATCCAGTAAAACCTGCAGCATAAGTTTATATCAGTTTTCCTCCTTTGCACATGTTTGCAGTCAACCCTTCACACTCATGAAAGGTCAGGACTCACATTCAGGTCAGCTCTCCCAACTCTGCCACTGTATGAGAAAACTGCACAGACACCCTAAGATTCCCTTCTCTCCCTGCTATGCCATTCTTTGGGGAGACACCACAAAAATATTATCACTCTGACCCACTAACTCTGTACACAAGGGGTGCAGGGGGAGAATAATTACTTCAGGTTCTTGAGGAGTGTAAATGAGGGGTGGAGAAGGGAAGGCTGTGAGAGTAGATATTGCTGGTCTGGGGGAACATGCTGAAGGACTGATAATGGAGAGGGGATGGGGTGCAGCTTCCAGCATGACAGCCTAGCTCAGAGTGTGACAAAAGCTCATGAAGAAAGCTCATTAGAACTATCTAAACATACAAGATGAAAATGTCAAAATTAACACACATATTCAGCACAGTGAAAAATCAATCTGTTAAAGCCACATTACCATTTTTAGCTGGTGACTGCGAAAAACAAGTGTTCTAGTTCCAGGCCTTCCCACAGCTGCATTACTTGAATTCTTTAGATGAACTCTGTACAGAAAGGTCAAAAGGAAATGACAGAATATAAACAGACCCATAAGTAACTCTCACAGCACACATTTCTCTAACAGTCTCTAGTTTCATTCTCTTCTCTACAAGGAGCTACAGCAGAGCCTGCAGTCTAGCCTCACCCCATGCTCTGTGAGTATTTTGTTTTTAAGAATTGAGAACCTAGACTGGGTTCTCCATAGTATTTGTAAGAAAGCAGCTGCTCAAACTTTTTTTGAGAGATCAGCAGCTTTTTTTACTTCCTTTTCCAGTTGTCATGCTGAGAACCAAATTGTCTGTTGCTTTACTGTTATTATATCAGATTATTTCAAAACAGAACACCTACAGAGTTTTGCCTTTTCCTGCTACTACTTTCAACAGTTTTGACAGTACAACTTTCAACTAGGAAAACATTCACTGCAAAAGTCAGGTGTTGTCAGACTCTTAACAAGAGAGGTTAAGGTTTCTGGCAGGAAAGGTTATGCTAGAAATAACAAAAGGTTTAAAGACAGGTAGCAAAGGGCAGAACAGCTAGTGACTGATGTGTTGTCAAACGTTTCAGTGTCATCGAGTATCTTTAAACAATTTATCTCAAGTATATTTTATTAATTCTTTCAAATTAGCATTGCCATTAATGTCCTGAACAGATCAAGTACACACAAGAGATGAACGGAATTTCTAGAAAATGCCAAGTGGTACACATAAGTAAAATTAATATAGAGGGAAAACTCTGCCCCACTAGAAGAAATAATTGGGAATTTTAAAAAGTTCAGAATGAAAAAAACCATCACTCTCATATGAGGACATACTCTAAGTTATACAACAGAATTTCTAGATTAGCAGAATATTAGTTTTGTTATGCTTAAGCTTACTTTGCTAAACTTACAGAGATGATTTATTTTCATTATCCACAGTCTGAGACAAAGATTCCTGATTCTCAAGAATGTCATTTTTGTCACTCTGAACTAGTTCAATCACTGAGTCTGAACGTTCAATGCCTAGTTTTCTTTTTTTGGAAGAAAAGTCATGGCCTCTGTCATTTACTGCACTTTTCTCCTTCAGCTCTTGCTCAGCATCTCCCAATACTTCAGCTCTGCTCATTAATCTGCCTGAAAGAAAAAGAAAAGTTTTCTTGGTTGTGTTTTTTTTTTTTTAATGCTTGTTTGCTGAGTCACACTCACTATCATAGGTCAAACTTACATTAACAAATACAAGAGCATTACTTGGGAAAGCAAAATATGAATGCTGTCTCTAATTCTATGATGTCAATATAGGCTGAAGTACAAACTGAATTAGACAAGGGCATGTAGTGATAAGACAAAGGCAAAACTAAAAGAGCACATCTAGATTAGATATTAGTAAGAACTTCTTCACTGTGAAGGTGGGATCCATCCCTTCCATCTCTGGAAGTGTTCAAGGTCACGTTGGGTGAGGTATTGAGCCACCTGGTCTAGTGAAAAGTGTCCCTGTCCATGGTGGGGATGCAACTAGATGCTTTTTAGGGTTCCTTCCAACACAAACCATTCCACGATTTTATGATTTTTACTGATAGCCCTGGCATTGGATGCACAGGTTTGTGCGGGAAAAAAATTAGCAGTCTGAGAGAGGTTTTGCTTCATATTGTTTTGTTTGTCTGTCACCATCTCATAGCAGAGCTCTTCTAAGTTCTTCTGTCCATTTGATCATATCGCAAGTTAAGATTACATTGACACACTTCTCTTCCACCCTGCATTTCCCTGTTCTCCAAAAATATCCAGGGCACACATCACAGGAGAGGGAGAATTATGCTAAATGTCTTCACAGGTCCCCTCCTGCTACCTGAGTAAGTACAAACAAATGTCCCCTTGTCGATGTCATCCAGGCAGCGGACGCCCCAGCCCTTCTTCTCTGTGTTGAACACTTGCAGCCTGACTTGAATGCCATGCTGTACAACTCTGTTCTGACACATCAGCTTGTCACACCTGCACAACACATTACACTCGTAAATCCTGTCAAGGGGAAGAAAAACAAAACACAATATAAATGGACGCAGTACTATAACGAAGTTCCTATTATTAATTCCCTCTCTAAGCATCTCTAAGCATCAACAAAGCTATGGACTGAAATATAAAGACTCTGGTTGTGCAGCAATGCTCTGGAGCTTGTGACTTTCTTGACTGCTGATTCATTAATTTTAAGAGTCTGTCTGCCAGATCTTGGCATAAGTATACAAGAAAAACAAATGCTATATTTTTGTTTCATAGGAGTAAATCACACAGAAGCAGAAATCCCTATGAAGCACCTAATTCTATACTGAAACATGACAACCTGTGCCTGGACTTCACTGTAGCTGTCATGAATTTCAGGATTTAATTAAGTATTTCCTAAAGGACTCACAATTGTGCTCTTTTTTTGCATCTGTTTCTGTGTTCTCTGGCAACTTTAATTCTGCATGTCAGCCAAAAACTAACATCACGCAGTGGACTGAAAGGGGCTCCTCAAGCCTGTAGATTCAAGCCTTTGGCTATTGCAGAAAGCTGCCTTGCATAATTCCTCTCCTAGACACCTGAAGTAACTGGCATCTTCTCCAGGCCATGTATTAATCCACAGGAGCTGAGTAAGAGAAAGGGCAAACACTTGAAGCACTGGATGGCTTTGGAGGTTCTTGGAAGAGTCACCCATAACCAAGTCTAGCAAAACCAGCTGGCTGATGTGTCTTTAGGACTCTGGTCACTCTTCATACTTCTCTTGGACCTTGACCTAAGATGTGAAAACTGCAGGATCTGCAATACAAAATGTTTTTTCCTCCCTCCTATTACTCAAGTCACATTAATTATTTTTTATCATCCTGATCTGTCACTAAAACTGTGACAAAAATGGAAGGTTTCAGTAATCCAAAAACTCCAGTTATTTTAATCCTGGGGTACTTGGACTGAATTATTAACTGCCGTTTCATTTGTATGCTCTTATTTTACTCTGGTAGTCTTTCTTACCCACTAGGAACAGGTCCCTCCAGTCTTTTGTAACGGTATCCATGGGATCTTTTACTACTTGAAGACAGAGAAATTTTACTACAGCCTCTTGCTGTTAGCTGTAGGCATGCACATTTTGACCTAAAAAGAAGAGTAAAACATCTCAGAATGGATTTGAAGCTGCAAAAATCGATCATAAATCTAGGTAATTTGCAATGCACTTGACTACACACACACACACATTTCCATATATATATACCTGTATTCCCCCTCCCTGCTCCTTTTACTCCACAAGGCTGTTTCAGGCACCTTTTTCCTTAGTCTCTTGGCTGGTTATATGTGATTTACAATAACTGTGTTCTTTCTACCCCAACCCCATTGCTCCGCCAAGCTCCTTAAATGCCATATACAAACAGCTGAAGTACAACAGAAATATATTATGAGCAGGACACAGTCAAATGGATTGAATGGATAAAAATCACCACTTCTGGCACAGCATTCCAGCCTGTTTGCCACTACTCCGTTATCTTCCTCCCTCCTTAGCCCCCAAGAAGTGAAGAATTTTACACTGTGAAAAATACAAGCAACAGTGCTTGTCTTCACCATTATATGTCACGACAACTTCAAAGAGTCACAGCGATTGTGCAAATCCCAAATCCCAAAACTGCACATCAAAAGCATCTCAATTCTTGTGGGACTTCAGTGCAAAGAAGTGGCACGCTGTGTCCTTGTTGTTTCCCACCACTCAGCTGAAACTAAATTACTAAAATTAAGATTCATTATACCAGATTGTGATTTCAAGCTGAGTCATGACCAACTATGTTGCACAGCAGCATGTGCAACTGCCCTAGCTGTCAATAATACAAAATGGATACAACACCAAATGCCTTCAGAGACAGATCAGACAAGCACCCTTCAAGAAAAGGGACAAAAATAACCCCAAACTTGCACATGGTAACTGTGGCAGGTTCCCAGTGTCTGTAGCTCAAGTTTTTGGGATTTAGAAAAAGATGACAATGAGCAAGGGTATTGGAACTGCTCAGACCACAAAGGTATTCTATAACCACTAATTTTTGTAGTTTCTGTTTAGACAAGGAGAAAGATGACATGTAGAGGTTGGGAACACAGATGTTTCTTCGTCTGCCCTCAGTAACCCTCTAAGGTCCAAATAATTTGATCCCTCAAGGCTGTCCCGCCCCATCTATAGGATGCCATTTTACAGTAGGAACTGCAGCAGAAATTGTCATGCAGGATTCTTCCCTGTCTGCCATGAAAACAAGCCTGCCTCTGCTGGCATAAGACTTCCTTCCCTACTCTTTTTCCAAAGCCAAGTTATTTGCTTGTCAGCTCCACCTGGAGAAGAAGCACTGCCAGTTTGGGAAGAAAGGAAAAGGAACACAATAATCTGCCTGTTGATTGCTTCCCTCCCCACAACAGTGGGTGGACCAGTAGGAGCACCCAAGCTCTGGAGGAGAAAAAGACACAATGGTGTCAGACAACTTAAAGCACAGCACAAGATATTGCAGCATCGCTGGTCCTGTTTGGTACCGCACCTTCACACCCCACCACCCCGCTATTGAGGCATCACATGTCACTGGCCTGAGATGAGATCTTTCTGCCTACCTATCAATGCAGCCATCTGTGCAGTCACAGGAATCAACAAAGAGGCTGGAGAAATTGTTGAGATAATATCCACGTGGCCACGATGACTTCCGATACTTGAAATAAGGCAATCTTGCGTGGTCGAGATTGTTACAGAAGGACACGGGCACAGACTCGGCTCCGTTGCTAATATCGAACTCAAACACGAGGGGCTCGGGATTCATGGTGTTCCTGCCCAAAAGCACATATGTGTTGAAGGAAAAGTGATCAACAAATAAAAAATTGCACTCTGTTTCAAACAAGTAATTTCGCACATCTTGAAAGCTTCTCAGACTCCGACCGCAAGGAGCTTTGTAATTTACATCCAGTGACTTCGAAAGGCAGTCTGCTTTTGCATGGCGTCTCTGAAAGTCAAACAGGATTGGGATCTTCAGAGGATTTTCACCCTTGTAGGAGTCCACTGCTCTGTTGGCAAGACATGCACTAGAGCACTTGTGGTTCTGATACTGCACATTTAAAGGTAAACCTTGAGTTTTGCTAGATGCTTCTTTATTCCCTGAGCAGCTTCTTTCCATGTCCTCTTTTTCACTATTTGAAGTTAAGGAAGAAAAAAAAAAGAAAGAAGAGCAGCATCTTAGACAACCAGCGTTGTGTTCAGTTTTTCAGCAGTTCATTATTTTTAGCCCCATTGCTAGAAGGCCAAAGGTTTCACATGGTGTAACTGTCCTAACAACATATAAAGACATATTTAGTTGCATAAAAAAAAGAGCTTCTTCCCAGAACTTACATGCTAAAACACAGCAAGAAGGAAATTTAAAAAAGAGGAATAATGTATTTACTCCCATCTTTCAAATCAGCACCTGAGGCTAAATACTAAACACAGAGAGACTAAATTACACACTTGACAATCTGCATAGTAAGGAAAGCCTGAGAACTGATGCTTAAGTTTTCACCCTGATAACACTCATGAACCTTTATTCACAGCCTAATGCCCTATTCTGCAACGTTCTCATGTGGGAAATTAGACAAGACTATCCAAAGTCTATTCCACACAGGTCAAGTTAAAAACATTTTCACTTTGAAAACTTGCAGGATTCAAACTGGGTTTAAAACACTGACTTTAGAAATACAAATTTGAAAACTCTCTCAACTGCAGTAAAGAATATGTCAAATAAGGAACTGAAATGAAGGCACTGACCTGTCAGAATCTTCTACAGTGTCTGCAGCATTGTCATCTGGAAGAAGAGGCTGCAGTTTGGGTTTGGATTCCTGTGCACCATCTCCATTCAACTCATCGCTTACTGAAAAAAATCGAATGTGAGCAAAAACTTCATCAATCCAGATTTCAATTTATGATTGGGTTTAATTTAGTTACTGAAGAGATAATTAACAAAATACATTACAAACAAGGCATTGCTATGAACTACAGATAACAGAAAGCTTGTTAGCAAGTGCCCTACTGAAAAATCTTTCATGTTATTTTCAAAGTGACCAGAAAGAACACACACATTAAACACACTTATAGATTTCCCTTCATTTTAGAGATAAAAGGATGCCAAGCTATTACAGATAGTGGAGCCATGCACAGGATAACTGCTCAACTCTGGTTCATAAGGGCTTACTAGTTCAAACTCTCTTCCTGTGGCACAAGTATTTTGCATATACACAGAAACCACAAAGATACAAATTCAGGTGAGAGTTCACAGTTCGGTACTTGAGGAAATTAATAATTAGGTTTTCCCTCATTGTAATGCTAATGGCCTTCTCAGATCTATTTTATTGATTTCAAAGAAGGGAACTGAGCTTTGGTGAGTGAAACAAGACAAATCCACAAACCAAACAAACACAATGGAAATGCACATACCATTTGCCAAGGTTAAGAGATCACCTAGATTAGCTTCATTCACCAGTGCCCAAGCCTGCCAGCATTCTACACAAAAGAAACCAAACCAAAACAGATACTAAGTTTAAGTCATGATAATAGGTAAAACAAAGTGTTAAATCCTCCATAGGCACTTGTTTCTCCTCACTGTGCTAGAGCATGGCAAAGCTGATACTATTAGAAACGTTGCACCATAGACCATAGCAGACACATCTAGGAAATACAAAATTGTAGATGCGAATTGGCACTGAATATCCTTCAGCTTTCGGAAAGCTGCTGGAATGTTTCCAAACACACATAAACTGGTGGCCTACAGTGGCAATAACAAAGACAATTCAGTGTAAGCTTCTACCTTGGTCATCAGACAAATCATCTTCAGGCTAGGAAGGGCTGGAACTTGGCAGACCTAATTAATGCTATTTCTAAATTGGTGGAAATGGCCTTCAGATAGAACACAAGAGACCCATTCAGTCTCAACCTCTTAGCCCGTGCAATAAATATTACAAGCTGGCACACAACTCTCAGAAAAATCCACATTAATATTTTAGCTTGAAACCTTTACAGAACAAAGCACAGAAAAATTCAAATCGAACTTTATCACAGATTCATTGCATCATCTGGGGATTCAAGTTCAACTTTCATATTTGCATTGCTTTGATATTTTGTCATAACAGTCAAGATGTGGGAGTTCAAGAACACCAAAAATTGCATTTCCAGTTTAGTGGAAGTGTTAATGCAGAGTGTGTGGCTCTATTAGTTTAAAAGCATCTTAGGCCCCTGTACATTTTGTCGCACAAAAAAATCCCAATAAGATCCATAGATTACATTTATATGGGTGACTTAACAAAAAAAAAAAAGGAATTTTACTCAATTTAATAAACTCGTAAAAGGAAATCTGTGTACTGCTCCAAGCTTATCAGAATTACAACTTCAATGTATTTTGATGTAGACAGAGAAAGCTTATTTCCTTGAAAATCAGGAACAATCTGAAATGCATTAGTGTCACAATTTTCTACTATTGTTTCAAGTTATAATGGTGTCTTTGACAAAAAATAATACTGAGATGATTATTATCCCAGACCAAAACCACTCAATTCACTGAGATCAGCTTGAAAGGCAGATATTTCATTACTACTCAAAAATTAATATTTCAGTTCCGTGTGCTTAAGAGCCACGCATTGTTTGAAAAAATATACAGGCAAAACAAGAAAATAGCCAGTTGTACCTGAAATTTCTTTTATTTTTTAAAAAAGAAAATACTTGTATTTTAAGTGCTTAAAGCCACCAACAGCTAAGTTTTTAAAATTCAGACATATCTGGATTATGGCAGATATCACACAGACCTACACAATGCGGGCCACAGCTACTCTGCAGTCCAGTTTAAACACTACAAGGATTTCAAACCTTGATTTGTTGCAGTTCCATTCTTGATCTTTTCCTTCAGCAACGACAGCACATTTTGCACCTGCTCAAATATGACATCCACTCTTCTACCTCCCAGCTGTGTCCAAAATGTCTTCACATCACCTGAAATGCAAATTACCATTTACAGCTCCTGATAAGTCTAAAAACATGCCTAACTCCTAGAGGACTATTCAAAGGCTCCTACTCATTTCATTTGGAGGCACTTCTGAAAAAACAATCAGTACAGCAGGACACATTAAACTTCCAGAAGTCTATTCCTAAACCTAATCAGGAAAGTGAAACAGAAGTCAAGTGATGAACTGGAGTGGCTTCCAATGGTGCATGATGCTCTTTCAAGCAACTTTTTAAGCAGGTCAAAAAGGGAGCTGTGGAAGCCTTTCTTCAAACACCAGCAAATGAGTCCCACTAAAAATTAATAATTGAAACTCACAAAAGTGACACCAGAGAATATTTTCAACTGAATGAACGGGATATTTTACTTGAAAAAAGACACTAGGATTTTCTTTTTAGCTGCATAGGCTGACTGTCCTGTCCCGTCATTAGTTTTGGTATGTTTTGTAGGGGAAAAAAAGTTCAAAATATTTTCAGATGAAAGCAGTTTGATGGATTTGTTCAACAAGGGGTATCAGTTAAAATAATTAACACATCCCATATATCATGCCTCCTTCCTCCACTAGAAATATTTATAAAGACCATTTTGTTTAAATAAACGTTTTTTAAGCTACTGGTTTAGAACTTCTCTTCCAAAGTTATGTACCTTTGAGGTACTAAGCCCATTCATGAAGGCTCTTGTTAAAACTTTAGCTGTGCATCTTTGTCACAAAGGCTGTGAAAAGGAAATATGTTTCAGTGTATCAAAAGATGATGACAGAAGAAAAAAACAGCTCTTTCTCAGTTAATGTTGTTCTTCAATGATCAAGCACAAAAGCATATGCAAATCTGTTTTCCTACTCCATTTCTTGAGGTGGAGTCCACTGTCACCACACTATGTTTACATTCCACTTTCAGACAGCAAATCTCTGTTAGCAAATGTGCTGGGGTGACACCTTCCCAGCAGTCAAGAAATACTGTATTCTTGTAAGGCTCATAAAAAATATTGCTTCATTTTTTGACTTAGTAGAGAGTGACTTCTGTTGCCCAGGGTACCAGAAGCCCAGTGATGCCATGGCAGTGTGGTTACTCTCAAAAGCACCACGACAGTAGTGAAAGAAGTAATCTTTTGTCACCACCACCCCTGCTGCTCATATCACCAGCAGCTAAAAGCATAATACTTAGTATCAACAGGCAATGATAAAAGTACTTTGTCTTGTGAAATATCTTCATTTGGCACTAACTTTAAACATGTGGTAAGGTTAAAGTCCAATTACAGAAAAAGTCACAACAATTTCTGGAAACCTACATTACTGGTCCAAGGGAAACTACCTGCCCTATGCCATTCCCACCCTTTTGCTATGCATGAGAGTATCACAAATTTAAAATATCAAAAAGTACATTAAATATTTGTATTTAAAAAAAAATTTAAAAATACATTCAATTAAAAACATGTATTTAGAATTTCTAGTAATAAGTTTCTCCACTGCAGATTAAAACTGCTGTCCTTATTCATTATGTGTTTTCAGAAATTTACATACATTTACTAAATCTGGATAGCACTGGTGGATGGATTACTTCAAAGAATGGGTGATAGAACAGTTTCTTGTTTCTGGGTCTTCAGCTATAACAATGTGTAGGCCATAGAGAAATAAAACACTCCCCTTGAAAATGCCTCCCCAATTCTCATGCTGGAGTGCCCAAAACTCCAGCAGCAAAAGCTTTGTTCTGCATGGAGAAGCAAAGATTGCAGTTGAAGTTGATAGCATAATTTTCATTTCAAAAAAGACAGATGTCCTCACCACTAATCTCTCCAGTGCTAATGCTGCTATCACCAATCACAGCCAGAAGAACAGGGAATGAGCAGACACCGGATACATCTACCTTGTCAGCATTCAGAACCATCAGATCCATCCAGCTGATGGATCACGGTGTGCACTGGCATCTGGCTGGAGGGATTTTCTTTTCCCTTTATAGAATCCTTGTGACCACCTATCTCTTTTTTTTCCCAGCATTGTGCAGAGGAATGATGCTAGAGCAAGATACGGGGCTACTTACTCCAGCTACTAGATAAACAATCTTAGGTGATTGTCCTGTAGTGCTGCTTACAAACCCCTGACACCATGAAAGGCAAAGCTATTGCCTTCTAGTGGTAATTTTCATGTCAGAAACAGTGCCAAACATACTCCTTTCCTCTTTCCCTCCATAAATCCAAATTATACTACCTTCAGTGCTCTCCTTCCTGGAACTAGTAAAGTTCTCCTCTTTGAAGAAGTCTCGCAGCACTGCAAGAGGTGCAGAATGGACAAGTAAGTAAGAGATCCGGTGAGAAATTAAACATAGTTGTATTACTCGGCTTTTCAAAATCTATACATGTAAATACTACAATGAGTATCAGGAGGAGAATATGTGTGAGAATATGTTGTGTCGAAATAGTCATTCCCCTTTTAAATAGTCATCCCACGCCTTGTGCGTGGGACACACTCAAACAAGTAATGTGAGGAAATTTTTTTACTTACATCATTTCTTACTGTCCTTCAAGCATGAAGTTGTCACAAGATAACCCAAACTTTCCAGCACATTCAGATGAGCCTACACAATCCCCCTGCCCATTAACTCACAGTTTTCCTTTTTTCCCCCTAAATTGATGTGCTCAGTACAGCAGTACTATAACTAAATTAATTTATTTAAGGGAAAAAAGGAAAGCTTTTTCCAGGTAAAAAAATTACTGAATCTGTTTCTTGACAAATGCAAGATACCCTTCACTGCAAGAACACTAAAGAGAAGTAAGAAACCACTCTTCAACCACCTTGAAGATTCCAAATTTTTATCTCCATGAATCACAGAAGAAAATAGGTTGGAAAAGACCTCTGAGATCATCCTATGATCGAACTCCAGGATGCCAACTAGACCTCGGCACTGAGTGCCACATCCAGTCTTTCCTTAAACACTCGCAGGGACGGTGACTCCACCACCTCCCTGGGCAGCCCATAGTGACACGCCTAACATGCCTTGTTTACGTTAGCTAGCTCAGCTTTTCTGTGCTGTAGCTGAAAAAAAGAGATCAATCCTCAAGCCTTTCCATTCATTCTGGATACTTCATTTAGTTGAACGGGAAAATAGGTTAAGACAGTTTACTCCTAAAAATGTTTCTTACAAGGCTTATGGCTGCCCAAAACACGCATATATATGCATATATGATTTTTAAAGGCTTACTTCTTTTCTCTTCCATCCTCCAGGGATGCTGCTCGGAGAGCTGTCACCCTCACTGGGGTGGCGCCGAGCCCGGCTCAGGTCGGGGTCTCGCTGCGCTCCGGCACGGCCGCAGGGCCCGCGCCGAGTGCCGGCGGGCAGGGGCCGGGGTGCCTGTCGGGCTGGGAGGCTGGCATGGGGCGTGCCTGCGGTCAGGGGTCCGGCCCCAGGTCACTCCCACACCCCTCGAGGCCTCGTCCCCGCCCTCGCCGGCTTCTTCTTCTTCTGCTTCTTTCCGCCTCTTCCTCCTCCTCCACCTCCAACGCTGCACCCGCGCTGCCGACCGCCAGGGGGCGCCACCCCGTGGGGCAGCGCTGGTGACTGGATGTGGGCGGCCCCGCGCGCCTGAGGGGGGCGGCCCCAGGCCCTTGAGGGAGGCGGGCCCGCGCGCGCACTGCCTTTTCCTCTCTCTCCATAGGCTGCGGCCGCAGGGGGCGGTGGCACCGGCCAATGGAGAAGCAGAGAGGGCGGGGAGGGGGCGGGGCCTGGCGGCGGCGGAGAGGCGGTGCAGGCGGGGCGGGGGCACAGCCGAGGGACTGGAGGTGCGTCCGCCATCTTGGAGGGGGCGGGTCGAGGGGGGCGGGCTGTCCCTCAGCGCTGTGGGGGCGCCGGCGCCATCTTGGGGCCGGGAGGAGAGCGGGGGAGTGGGAGGGGTGAGCTCGCTCAGGTGGCTTCATTAATGTATCGTAAATTAAAGCGTTTGGTACCTGAACGAGTTGCGTAGCTTCAGTGCTCGCCTGTGCTCTTCTTCCTTGCTGGCTGCGCTGCTGCCGTATGAAGCGCTAAATTATCACTACCCTTTTCTGTTCGAAGTATGAAAATAAAGTTTGATATCTGCCTTTAAAATTTTCAGCTGCGTTGCTTTTTGCGAGTGTTGATATTGTGGCTATGTAAAGGTGTTTTTCGGAGGGGCAAAAATATAACCCCACCCTTAAAAAGCAGGGAGGGTGCTTTTTTGCTTTTTTTTGTCACCTCTTCTTTGCCACCTCTTTAAAAACGTAGAGATAAATATGCTATGCTTAAATAATTGTGAAAATATTACCAATGTTACAGATCTTGCCAAGTTTTGGCAGGGGGTAGAAATGCGATTATTCTGGGGACAGGAATGCTGTGTTGATGTGACTTGGAGCTCTCATCTGACCCGAGATCCTGCAGAAGAGTTTGATGTCCAGCATCTGCTTTGTACTTTTATAAAACCTTTTAAATGTTTACACAGACGTGCCTACATCTGTGATCTGCCCAGCTCCCCAGACAGGAATGAGACAACTCACAGCAACATCGCTGGGAAGAGGGTGGCTCAGCACTCCTGATGTGCTGACAAATCTCTCAATTAAAAAAAAAAAAAAAAAGTAAAAGTAGTTTATTATGTTTTTAAAGAGAGACTTCTCCCTTGTAATTGTTCATTTTAAAATTAAGCACAAGCTTTTCTTGCTCTTGGAATATTCTGCATTATGAGATGGTGCTTGCAGATTAATTTCACTTTGCTGAATTATTAATACGTGTGCTTGTGGATAGTGAATGTTACGAATCACTCGTGGCTTTACAATTGCATACACGGCATAAACCAAATACACAGAAGATGGAGCCCAGTGCTGGAAGAATCTGAAACAACATGACAGCCCACCTCAGGCAAATTTTGAATTTATGAATATATAGAAAGTACTAATATATTTTGCTTGCTATTTGAAGCAAAAAGAATGGGAAATACACCTTTCTTAAAACAAAATTAATGACTTAAGACAAAATTAACGAGGCACTTTTGAAGCATGTCTGAGTTTCCTTCATTTTGCTTTCAGCCTGGAAGTAAGACAGGCTTTCTGCAACATAGCAGCAAATTCTGCCAGTGAACCAGTAAGCTCAGTTCTTCCCAAACTTGTTAGGTGGCAGAAGCTCACAAGCGATGCTGACCTGACATCCCAGCAACCTGCCCGCAGCTCTCCTCCAGCAGCAGCGTGAGCTTCCTGGGGCTCTGCAGCCTGGACCTGGACTGACTACCTGTACCCAGAGGTGAGAGCAGCTCTCCCATGTGCCTGCATGTTTGCTGGCACCTTTGTAGGGGTGACAGTGAAGGGACTGACGGTCCTGGTGAGTGGTGCAGTTGACTGAGCTGCTGAATTAGGCTTTCATTACATAGTTCTGGTCATATGTTGAGAGTTAGAATGAACAATTGCATAGACAGGCAGAGTGCAATTAGCTCCTTGGAGTGGGAGGAGGTGAACTTGGTCCCAAAGAAATTAATCTAGTTCTCCAGGGATTTTTTTTTTTTTCATCTTGAATGCAGGAGATTTGGGTTTTTCCTCATATGACCAGATAGACTTGGGTGAGGTACAGACCCACAAGTCAAACTCCAGCAAACAGTGAAGCAGCCAAAGCCACGGACTTTGGAAAGCCAAGGGCATTAAAAATAAGTTTTTAAATTCTGATAAAGCTTTTTGTTCTTTTCTGATGGGCTTGGCTCTTTGTTTTATTGACTCTTCTTAAAGTGTCATCCATTGAATACTTCTGCCAGCTCCTGCTCTGTCACCTCCTCCCTGTGTCCCTTGGTGATTTTACTTGCTCCCTTATAGATGAGTGTTTACACTTCATTCTTTCAAAGTGCAGCCTTAAAATAATCTTCTCTTTTGTCACATTGATTAGTTTGTGTGGTTTATATGTAGCCTCTTGTTATTCACACATCTATCTTCAGTAAGGTAACAGAACAGAGAACTGGCAATTCTATACAGATCATAGATCATTCCTACTTTACAAATTAATTGCCAACAAAATGGCTTTAGTGAGGCAGCCTTTGGTTTATCTTAGAAATTTTGCTTTAACACATCATTATCTATGAAGACACAGGCATAATAATAATAATATTCCCCGTAGGTTTGTTGCTCACTAATTGGACTCAGACTATCTACAGGCCCTCAGTATATTTTGTTACTATGTTTTGTAATTATTTTGTTATTGTAGATATGGTAGAGGGTTATTTGGATATTATTTTTCTCCAGGTATTAAATGAAAGAAAGGGGAGATTTTAGGTCTCTGAGAAGCCTGTAAATTAATATTTTTCTACCTCTGGTGTGAGCATGTTTGCATTCTTGGCAACTAAAAGTCTAACAAATTGTCTGTTTGAGAAGTGGAGGTTCCAAAATCATAGGCTGTTATAGTCCTAAGGGAATCTTAAAACACAGGCAGAGACTAGCTAGGAAAAGGAAGGGAAAAATTTGTGTCACTGTTTTAACAATAGACTCCTTTCATGTGGAGGACCTAGATGTCTGTTAATTACTAACTGGCTTGAGGGTTTTGGAATCTGGCCCAAAATGCTGAAACTCTTAACCATCCACTGGCTGGCATTTTCTTCAAGGTCTGCATTTGGAAACTGGTAATGCGATGGATTTCATCTTTAGTGACTGTTTACATAGAAGAGGCGTTTTCAGTTTCAGCCATATTTCTGTCTTACAGTCTCGGTGTTCGTTGCCAGCAAAGATCCCAGGCAGCTGTGTGAGCACAGAAAGCAAGGACTGGTTTGGATGTTAGATAATGCCAGACCAAGCTGAGCAGCATGTGTTGCCTTTGCTGTGCCACAGCCCCACCACACTGATCAAGACCTAAACTCTGCCCTCTAATTTTGGGTGACGTGGATGAATTAACAAGATCTGAAAGCCTATGATTACAAGTGCACTTGAAAGGGTCTGAAATCTCTGGAAACCAGGCAGTAAATGTATATGATGAAAGAAATCCTAAATAATTGGATGCCTAAATGCCTTTTTATCTTCATTTTTTCCATGTGAACATAGCAATATATTTATCTGAAATAAATTTTCACTGGTACTTTCTGAAGTAAGGCTTGTGGTTGTAAAGTATTCTGACCCTTTTGATTGCTCTTTGTGGGTTTGCCTGCAGGGTAAAATATGCACACAAACTATTTTCGTTAAATGAACACATACCAGACATTAAGCAATCTGCAAGAATTAATGAATTTGTGGTGTTCCCACTCTGAAGAGATGATCTGTGGGGACCCCCACATCTTCATTCTGACTTGCCTTTTAACTTATAAATCCAAGTGTGGAGGCAGGTGCCCTTGTGGTGCCAGCAGATAGAAGGTTGATGGGCTGGTGCTGCTCTTGATAGCTGCTGTGCAAAGGCCAGAGAGGCAGTAACTGGTGTAGAATTGGACTTGAACTAATAAAAGCCATCAAAAGGAGGCATAGGACAACAACCTGAAATCATTATTGTGTGTGGTCAAATAATCACTTTCAAATAAAACTGAAACCTGTAAGGTTTCAAATGTACTGAAGGGAATTTGAACTAAAACCTTAGAAAACAAGGCAGATGTTGTGGTGTGGAGGCTTGACAATAGAGCTCTTCGTAAGAATATTCTGGACTAAAGAGTCCTTAGTCACAGCTTCCTGTGGGGAAATTAATTTAGTTGAAGAAAATTCTCATTTCTTAGTTGATATTTTTCCTTGATCCAGTTCAATGTGCTGTATCAGCACTTGGTTTGGCTTAAATTTGTAGACATGTGGAACCAGCAGTAAGGTGTGAAGAACAGGAGAAGCAAGAATGGGAGGGAGTATTGTCTTATCAATATTTTTTTTCATTTGGGTTTGTTTATAAGTGTTTTGAAGGGTCAGGGAAGCCACAGTCCCCTGAATGTTTAAAATTGGCACTGTCAAAGAAAGAAACACTCTGGATGTCCCTGTGCTTCTTGGACTGCCCTGTTCCTTTGTGTCATTACTCAGGGGACTGGTTGGGGGTTCAAAAAACAAACAAGCAAACAAAAAAACCCCAAATCAACAACAACAAAAAACAACAAAACAAACACCCCCATATATAAAAAAACAAACAAAAAACCAAAACCCCCTGAAAAACCCCAAACAACAATAAAAAAAAATGCAAACAAAACCAAAAACAAACAAAAATCCCCACAAAAATTTCTTTGGCTCAGCTATATTTATCTGAATAACTTTCCCCATCTGATTTGCTGTGCAGCCACTTGGTATTTGTGCTTTCTCAGGGAACTGGAGGTGGCCTAGGCGCAAAATGAGCATCTGGAAATCAATGGATTGC